TCTTAATAAATTTGACTGCATTCCTCAGTACGAGTTTATCATCTTTGTAGGCGCAATCGCTCCTGCATTACTGACAAAGATCCTCACTTACTTGAGCTTGTAGTTTTCTTGGCTTCTTTGGGAGCACCGCAACTGGATTGTCGCAAAGAAGTATCGCCTTTGTTGCGGTGCCTTAACATTTTTGCGGGAACAGATGCATCCGTTTTAGATACGCATAATCGCTTGTCAAAAGAACCCCGTGCACGGCCATCTTTATATCTTCCTGCATGCTGTTTCGCAGACGTACAATGAACGTTAACAGATCCGAAACGGCAAAAGATGGCCTTGCAAGGTGGACTTTTGACATTCTCGCATAACATAAGTACCCCGTGCACGGCCATGTTTTTGTCCTCCTGAATATTCGTTTGCTGACGTACAATGAACGTTAACAGATCCGAATGGCACAAAACATAGAAATATCTACATTTACGAACAGGACAAATAATGATAACACCCGACGCGTGCATGCGACACGAACGATTCGAACGCACTCCGAAATGTATTACAAAGAAAAAAGCAGTCTTAACCACTCGCTATCACATAAAACTTTGAATGTAAGCATGATACAGATTGTTAGCTGTTGTAGATACGCCGACCTTTAAAGTTAAATTAGTGATTGAGCGCATCTGCGGACACAAAAGCTTCGAAGGCGCAAACACTATAGGCAATCCTTAACAGAATTTTGCGCTAAAGAACATAAGAATGATTGCCAATTATGCTAATCGGGTCAAATATATGTGTAAAATTAGTTATAGTGACGAATCTTGGGGGTGTCGGTATATAAGCCAGTGATTTAGCGTTGTACTAGACTTAGGGTATTTTGCCAGAAAACCGAGGGGCAATTAACGGATTACACTAAAAAATAATTTCAAGTACCACTCACACAGGTCTCACCTTTTGTTTGTAATATATGTTTCATGTTGTATCTTAAATTCAGCGACATCTAGCCTTCCTAGTCGTTTGCGGAGTTAGTTGTTATTTTCAAAGAACACGGTTCAATTTTTGGCAAACTCTGCATTGATTGAATATTCGGCTCTTTTGAAGGAGACGAGAGATTTCAGCCAGTGATCAATGAGCGAGAAAACCTGAATGCAGTGTACGAGAGGAAGGAATGCAGACGAGGAGCTAAAGCAGAGAAGGAGGCAATTGAAGACAGATTAAAAAGTGCGAGCAGATTTTAATCTTAGTTAGTGCCTGCACCTTGCTTTATCTATCTTAGGAACCCACTGTTATGCGTTAAAGCTACTCCGCATCCTACAGGATGACACTCCCCATTGCCAACGCCACACAAACGAACCTATACAACTGGCTTGAACAGGCTTACTTCCTAAATTTTGGTAAAAAACTTTCCATCCAGTAAATTATTGTGTGCCCGAAGGGTGAAGATATCAGTGAGTGTGCGCAAGGTTGAATGTCATACATTTAGATTGTACTTATCTTTATGTGTGTGTGTGTCTGTAAAGCAAGCGGTCAAGTGTACCTTAAATGTATCACGTGCGATCTAGCCTTTCCCCCCATAGGTGTATAATCATACAGGAAGTCACTTATCACTTTTGAGTCAACCTTATGCGGCCATTGATGATTGTGCGATAGACATTCTCTGCGCGGTCGCAATAAAAAATAGTGACCTAGTCATAGAGTTTCACATGCAAGGCATATCGATTTGAGAAGGAAACATGATACATCACATTAAGTAGGATAGATAAGTCACACCTAGCATTATTCACATCGATAAAGAAACATTTATTTTGCAAAGTACGGCATTTAACTTTTGCATCGTCACTTAATGCTTCAGATCTTCGACTTGCGTATCCAATACATTATAGAAAGAAGTAAATTGCGTTTAATAGTATCATTACGCAATAATCTATTGAAAAGGAATATGTGATTACAACAATCTCATATAATGATCGAAAATATAGAAACTAGATAACCTTGATAGCGACTGATGAGTAATTGATGGTGTTGCAGGGAGAAATTTTTATCTGAACATGCGGAGTGATGTACCACCTCACATTCACTGACTTATGCGAAATAGATTTTACAGTATGCAACCATACTTTGGTAGAAGATCAATTCGACCAGCTGTTATTGAGAAATAAAGAGGTTCGCGTTGGCTAGTATTCACCCCTGAAATATGCCGCCATCTTGCGTAAAGATAAACATTCCCAGCGGGGGATGACCTTTGATTCGTTCGGTATGATGTAGCATATTTTGAGCTAGCTTATCCTGTATGAACACACGACGCGATTTTCATGTCAGATATCACTGTATTTCCCCGTTTATATTTTGAAGTAGCCGCATTTATTATGTACGTATTTGTTGCAAAGAGGTATAATAAATGCAATTTCACCAACAAATTATGAAATATTTCGATTTTTTTGGGATAGGGGATCAGACTCTGGTGCTCACTAAAGGTAGTTAAATTAATGAAGCTGAGTAAATTCTGGAATATGCGTACTCGTTTCAGTTGGTTGGAGGATGGAGAACGGGTGGTGCGTTGTGAAATATAAAATTATAGATTCGTTGATGCTATTAATACATTGGATACCGAATGCTGTATATACAGAAACGAAGGATAGCCTTGCCTGGCAGCACTGTCAACACGATAGTGGTCGATATATATTTGCTTTATGATAACGAAAAAATAAATTGAGGGAGTTTCGCGGTGACCTCCGAGAAGGGCGACCATCTAGTTTCGATTTTTCCATTTTATCGAAGGATCAGATAAGATCACTTCACATTTACTATTTGAAGGTGTGAGACACTAATACCTCGAGTCACCGGAAATTTCTTATTCACTCTCTGTCCTCCTTCACAGCTTTTGAGCTAATCGAGTGTGGGAACTGGTAGGGCATGACTTACAGCATTTACGCGGTCGCAGTTCAAGACCTGATCAATTTGGTGCTCGTATCATACATATATGACTGTAGAAGAAGATGTACTAGATCGCACTTTGTTGGAAGTGTTAGGTTAACCTTGCATTGTATACAGACAGAAAGATGACACAGACACTGAATTTTGGAGATAATGGTTATGATAGAGACCAAGACCAAGGAGCTCGCCCTTCGGTGTAAATATTTTGTTCGGAATCCAAAAGCAAATTCTGAACTTTTTAAGTAGAGATTTTGGATTTTTAGCGGCTATGGCATGTATTGAATTCTGTGCATCAGATATCAAAGTTATTGCGGAGTTATACAGATCTATAGCAAGGAGAACACTTTAAACCAAGATTTACTAAATTGTTCGGAGCTAAAGTGAATTATTTACGAGTCCACCCATTCTAAGTATATTGGGATGGACTCTAGTTTCGACAAAATAAGAGCTAGACAGTTCTGAGGGAAGTAACAGCACAGCCTGATCAAAAGTATTAAGACCGTAGCCGCTTGAACTCTTTTGCTAGAAAGAGAGCTGAAATTTATTTACAGTCAATGCACGGTAATAAGCCTTGTTTTTAAGTACCCTACACTGATGCTGAAGTACTCTCTAGTATGAAATTAGCATGTAGAGCTAGCTGATGGGCGACACATTTATTATGCATCCATGTATTGCACTCATGCTACTGTATAGGTTATGGTACCGAAACCGTCAGGGTATTAATATGACCAATAGCCTATCTTACGGTCCACACTCACAGCCGTCAATAGTGCATTGTATTGACGTTTCTATTCCATGCTTTATGCCGATTGTCTGACCGTCGTATGACCCCATAACCCCCCTCACTTACCAGTTTGACTTTCTATCTAATACTAAATCAGTATATACCATGTCGATACAGTCTTTCCAGCCTCAAAATTCACGGTTGTTTAAAGTGCACATGTTATAACCTAACAAGGAGGGGTTTGTATGACCCATTAAAAGGGATTTTAGACATTGTGGTGGACGAGAAGATTGACCTAAAACTGTTTGGAGGAGGAGGGAGAGTTAAAAACACTAAGTGCCCCAACGTGTAAAGACGAATTATGTCGTGCACGACATGCACCAACTCTTTCTTCTAGAATTATGTCGCGAATGCGCCAGCTGCACCCCGTATGGAGCCCGCCTGTGATCTAACAGAAATTATCACGAAACCGCTCGATGAACAACTGAAGCGAATTTTTAAGCGATGAAGAGCACCTAGCGCCGATATAGTACACTGTCTCAATCCAAGGCCATAGAGACTACGTCTGTATTCCACATAGCGTGTATGTATTCGTCAAATTGGCGGTATAAAGGGGTGGATGGCACATCGGCCGTGATAATACTACGCCTGAAGAATTCTCTACCCACAGGCTTTTCGCACCATATATTCTAAACCACACTTCACCAAGCAGATTCAAAACAAAGCACAGCTAATGCAACATGCACATGGGGTATTAGTATCTGCCATATGACAAACATCCATCCTCCTATTTTTGGAAGGGGCAGTTGAAGAGTGACAAGCCCTCTTATCCGGAGGTTGTAATAACGGCGCTAAGGCCGAATGGGGGATTTATGAGACACGCAATGTTTGATTGATGCTCGTCGTAAACAGTACACTTTCTGCATAATTGAGAATTAAAATGACAAAGGCTAGTTGCGTTCGGTATAAATACCCTTTTCTTTTACCTCTATCGGCACTTAAGTGCCTCGACCACTCATGTAGACGCGAGTCCGGGAAAAAAAATAGGCTACGGAATTGATTAATCCCACAAAAACAGGTGAGAAGTGCCCGGAATTTCAAGCTGAAACAGCAGACCTTGGTATATAAAAAATCAACGGCGTATGGGCAAATTAAAAAGGGGCTGTCTAGGCGTACACCCCCTAATGACTGCGCGCACACAACACACTGTGTGTAATCGTCTAATTTTTCTGTGTACCCTCTCGTTTTTTGTAAATGAGGTTTATTCTTTTCTCTCGCACTGACCAGCAACCGAGTGTTAGCGCGCGGAAGAAGCCACAAGGGACCATCACTCTCTTTTACACTGTGTTGAAGCCACAGCATGAACAGCGAGGACGCGGCCACGCGCGCAGCCAAGCGCAAGCACGCCACCTCGGGCGGCCGCAAGCTGCTGCGCTGGGACGCCGCGCGCTGGCAGCTGTTCGAGCGCACGCTGCCGTACACGACGCGCCTCAAGAGCGCACCGCTTTTACACCTGCGCGCCCCGCTCGCGTCTATGTACGTGGTATGATGTCCCGTCTGCGGCGTAGCCCGTGCTTACGCTCTAGTGTGTCTCTCTTTTTCTGTGCTGTTGTTTATTAGCTAAGAGATCCATATTTCCAGTCGAAAGAGTCACGCGCCGTCGGTGGTGATGGAGCAATCGATTATCGGCACGCGCTCGGGGTCTGTTGTGAATGTGGGCTCGTGATTGACGCGACAGGCGGCGACACGTATCTGCACGATGTCAAGTGGTTGCGGTTGTGGTTGTGCTGTGGGGGGTGATGGTGAGGGAACGGGAGGTATCAACTGGACATTTGATTGGGCTGGTAGGGAGTAGGACGGATTAGATGTTCAGTATGTCAATCTGAAGATTTACGGGAGTGAAGGTAGGAGCTCTTTTTAAATGGTTTGGCATAGTAGGCTGTGGGAGTCACGTGTGAATGGTATTACTTGTGATTGTATGTAGATGAGATAATAGGTCCGGAGGAGCAAGACAACAGGTTGGCACAAGTAACGCTATTCGGCCGCTTGAAGGGCGATGAAAAGTACATGGATATGGCTGTTTTTTGGAGCGGATGGCTAATATTTTGTGGGGTTTCTCGCTGTGCGGTGAGTAATTACAGTGCTGGCCTTGAATGGACATACTCATGGGGTAAAATTGTGGTGCTGACCCCCACAGCGTAGCTTTGGTCAAGTACAAACCGCTCTACTTCCAACTGAGCATCATCAAGAGAAGGATAAGTATGCTTGAGAGGTGGTGCTAGCATTGCCGGTAGAGCAAGAAACAGAGAGATAAAAGGATCATATGGAGGATAGCTCACGTTTAGTGGGAGATTTTTTTCGATATCACGGGGGGGGCGCGTAGTTGTTAGGGGGTGTACGCCTAGGCGGTCCCTTTAAAAAAGATAAGAATTATGTAACGGGGCTAGAACAACCCGTACTTAGCTAACGCGTATGCTTAAGGAAGCTCTAAGCCCAGATATCAGATATCAAGAAAATTTTAATCTGTTTATATGTTTGTCTTTTTCCATCCTAAGTTCGACTGGTTCAGTTGTACTCACGGGGACCACTCGATCAATGTATCGATATCTTACTAATTAAAAATGGAACAACCACATAGCTAGAAATACGACGTGCTGCAGCCGCTAATTTGGTAGCAGCTTTTCTACTAGAATAGCATGTAAACTAACCAGTTAGAATTATGTAACGGGGTGGCCCGTTACGTATCATACTCCTACGAGATCTCTGACCCGTATTCACCCGCTTTACTTTACCATATATGAATATTGGTGATGACGACAATTTCTGTAAGTATTTTTCTTAACATAGAAATGTTTTATTTCCTCACTTACCGAGCAGCGATGGCGGAGAATTTATATAAATCACGAAGTGATATCTATCCATAAGACTATGCGTTAGACTTAAAGTACGTTTGGATCGGTCATACTAATCTTCAGGTGTAACGGGGTCACACGAACGTTATACCTGGAAGGAATATACCTTGCGTATGTGATAAACAGTCCCAAGTTTTATCTTTGATAACTGATGTGGCTGATAACCTCCATCATCCATTGATCACAATTTAATGTACCATCCATCCATCTCTTGAATATCAAGAGTTACTATGCGAATTAATTATACCCTTTAATCAGGTAGTTCTGTGAGGTTTATCACATGTAAAACATAGAAACAAAATGATAGTCCTGTTGATCTTTTGTTGACACGTGTCGAGTTAAGACTTCGGCAGATCGCAGAGAATAAGAGGATTATTGTGGCGAGTGCTCTAGAGCACCTCGTGCATAAGCTTTTAGAATCATTCTTATCTACTGGACCAGGACTAGAAGCTCTACGATCATGACGAATCTTTTCCAGTCTTCTTTGATTAGCTATTAGACCTAGAGAATCTCTTAACTAATAAGAACTTAAGTTTGTAGCACTAAGTGACTTCTAGAGTCGTAAGTGTTCCTCTAATTAAGAGCTGTGTAGGTCAACTACATATATTTTTTGCTCTTTGCAAAATTACAATCAATAACAAAGGAGGGGTGCTTCTACAAACAAATACACCACATATATAAATAATTCCTGCAAATTCGTAAAACAGACTGGGTAGTGAAAACACATGGGTTTACGATAATACTTGGATGAAGCGGATCTACTTATCGCTCCTTGACAATTGAAGTCTTAGACTCAAAGAGTCCTTAGTTATAACAAACTAACAACGACGTACTGTCGTATAAGCGTACTAGCTTAACAATCCGGTTTCAAAGGGATTACGATTTGCAGAATCACCACTAACTGATAATTTAACAAGAGTAGGCGCCTTTACAAGGCTAATTCTCTTACAACACACTGCGCCTTATAAAGGCACTTGTGTACAGCATTTCAAAAGGGGAACTGAACTTTATTTTTTTCTTTAGCTAAGGTAATAAAACCATAAAACCTTGTCTGACTTCTTCATTACAGAGTTTTACCCATTTAGCCTAATGGTGTAAAACACCTGCAGGACTGGCTCTAATTACGATCCTACGACAGATGTCTTATCCTTTATCCCTAACCAATAAGGTGCGGTATTACCGTAAGTACATTGTACCATACTGTACCACTCAGATCCGCCTATCTTTACTTGGTGTGGACGCACAACATAATCGGTTCAATTAACACCGTGGAACCCCGTTACACTGGCGCAGGGTGCAACGCGGTGAAATATTACGTGAAACGCGTTCTGAGCTATCCAAGCCAATCGGAAGCATCAAAGACTATAGGCGCGGTTTCCCAAGCGAGAAGTGAGTGCTCTGTAGCATCCCCCTTTTTGATCGAATACACGACAATGCTTCTCATTCTTGGGCTGTGGGGGGTACGAGATTGTATCGAAGCGGGAAGCGGTAGTCATTTTCGTATGGTCGAAATCATTCAAAAATTGATTTAACACGGGTAGCGCTTAAGAGTTATATACACAGTTAGCTACCGCACCAAGTCTCTCAACGCAACGGCAGAACAATATAATGTTATTATCAACGGTGATGGTAGCGTATTCTTCGCCTGCACCGTGGCTGTCGTCGATTTTCGCTTTTCCTGCGTAATCCCAACATTCTGGTCTTGCTGCATCATCGCTCACGTCGAAGATTTCATACGGCAATTGGCAGTGTAGTGTACATGCAGAAGGCAAGCCAGACAGATCGAGCGATGAATGTGGCAGGTGCAAATGTTTGTACCCTTTAATGACTCTTGCTTATTTTATTATAATGGAAGTTGTGATTTATGATGAAGTACGACAACCACGGCAAGAAGAGCACTAGCCTCTGCGTTGTTGCCATCCCGTTTCGACTTCCACAGATTCCGACATTGAACTGAAGCCGGTAGAATCGGAAGTGCTTGCGGTATATTCACCAAGGTGGAAAATTGTCACGTGGACAAGTGGAGGGGAGTGGCCATGAAGAGCCATCGCTAGCTGGATACCTACATTGTTGTTGGGTACGTGCTTTTCGTCTCTAAAAAACACCAACAGAGCCGCTGGTGTTTTGCAAGTTAAAATGGAAATGACCAACTGTACAGCCCCTGTAATCGTGCTTGTAATTCGCAATAATACGCGTAATCAGCTCTGACGTAAGCTCACGACCTGAGCCATGCGTCATAACAGTCAGTATAAAGTGCTGGTATTCCGCGTGAAGGGAGGACCCTAAAGGTTTGTAGCAAATGCTATGCACAGTCCCTGATGCCATGTTTGGATTCATTTACTGTAGTTTGGCAGACTATACTTTGCAGGCATCCTGACATCCTCGCTTCAAGCTATGCTAATGGTGTGCCGTCTATCAAATCAGTCGATTGCTGCTCTCATGACGATAGCAGTAATCCGCTTGGCAATGCTGGCTTCTACGCACATGCAGACACCTATCCGATAAACAAAAGAATCAGTGAGTTAGTCTGTCACAAAGACAACACACGATTTCCGCAAACCGTACCTGGTCGCCCAGCCCAGTAGCACCACTGTCTGCAGTCGACACTGCTGCTTCTTTCGGTGAATCGCTTCGCGTCAGCTCTGCCGGCGCGTCGTGAGACTCGACCCACGCCATCTCCAACTGCTTATCGGCAAACACATTACCGTGACTCAAAGCGGCTTGACCAGCATACCGATCTTGAAACTTGATATACCCCAGGCCTGGAAATGACTCGTCCATCACGACTCGTTCAACTGTGCCGAAGTTGCCAAAATGCTGTGTGAGCACGACGGGGTCGCATGCCTCTTCCGGCAAGTTTGCTACTTTTACGATCGTTGTGCGGTTGTCTAACGTGTGAGAACCACGACCGTAACCTCCTCGGCCTCGACCGCCTCGACCCCCTCGGTAGCCGCGACCAGCAGACCACCGCCCCCCGCGACCTCCAGAGCCCCCTGACGCCTCGGCCTCCAATGCACTGAGTTCTTCTTTTAGGCCATTTAAATTTTCACGGCCTGAGATAGCTTGCGGCGTTGCAGCGTTCGGAGAGACAGCAGAATGGCGAGGAGTCAATGCCTTCAGCTCTTCAGATAGCGCAGTAATCTTATTCAGCAAGTCACGCTTTTCCACTAACGAAAACTGCGAGCTGCTGAAACTCATTCGCTCCAATAGCTCCTTCTGCTGAGCCAACTGCCGCTTTATCAGCCCCTCTTTCTGCTTCTTTATCGCACGCTGCTTCTCCAATAGTTCGCGCTTCTGTTCCAAGACCAAGCGACCTTTTTCTAATGCTGCCACACGCAGCTCCTCGGTCGTCATACTTTTCTCGGATTTCGCATTTATCAATTCTCCTTCGTCGTCAGCTTCGCCTCCGATCTTAACTGTAGCGGCACTGTCGGCAGGCACGCCATTTACCCCAGGCGTCTCTCTCGATGCATCGTCTGCATGTCCAACGTCGCCTGCTTCTCCTGGGCTCTGAGTATCATGCTTAGCCCATTTTACTGAAATAAAGCGATTGTTGCATACAGGAAGAGGTGAATGAAAAGCCTTCTTTGCCTCTTCCTCAGTTGCATACTGAACAAAAGCACATTTGGCGCTGGGGCGCATCCGCACATTTACCACGTTGCCAAACTTGGAGAAATGCAGACTCAACATGGTCATGTTGACGTACTTTGGGTCAACATGCCTAACATAGAGCGTCGTCTTTGCCGTTGGTACATCGCCGTTGTCCCTATCTCTACCACCACGTCCAGGATAGTACTGACCAGGTCCTCCCCTCCCTCCGCGCCCTCCAGGAGCAAAAAACTGACCACGACCGCCCATCGGGTGCGGCATCATCATGTGCGGTGGAGGCATCATGCTGCTTTTTTCCACCACATATCCATTTTGATCAAACTCTGGCGGGTAGCCCGCGCCTCGAGGCGGCGGAAAATGTGGTGGCCACATCCCTTGTGGTGGCATACCCCACTCCATCGGAAAATTTCGACGGTGATCGCCACCCATGCCATAAGGTCCCACTCCACGCCCACCCATGGGGCTAGTGTGCATGACGGGGTCATGCAATGGGTACGGCTGGCGTCGATTATAACTGCCGTCTCTCCGCGGACTGCCCTGATGTCGCTTAAAGTCACTCTCTCGAGGTCGATCGTCATCACGACGGCGCTTGGCAAATCGTCGCTGCTCGTCGTCACTGACCGCGAGATTGCGCTCGTATTGTCGACTATTGTCGTCGTCATAGCTCCTCACAGCACGTAACTTTTCGTCACTTGGCCCTCCATTTTTTATCCCGCAGCCCTTATACGAGCCGTCCGCCAGTGCTTTGAACAATTTTGCTACAAAACTTGTGGTCTCTGCATATTATTGTACACAAGTAAACACGACATGATAGTCAGTCGACAAACATTTATCCAATTTTGTACAAAAAGAGAAACTCGTAAAAACTTATACTACACATAAATCAAACACCCAACCCACCTTCGCCTAAAAACTCGTCGAGCTTCGACACGCACGTGTCCTGCAGTCCCGGTTTCCGTGGATCTTGCTGTACGAGTGCCAGTACGTACTTGCTCAGCACCTCCGGGTCGGCGTCGCTTCTGTTCGAGAAAGAGATGCATAGGTTTGTAATAAGTACGAATTACGAGCACCTCCGTAAGTTAGTATAAATTTATTGCACATATTCCGCAACTATAAATAAATTGGTCGAAACATCCAAGATAAATATAAAAAAATAGTCGATTACGACGCATACACTGGCTCGAGGTTGAGGATCAGCCATTCACGCAGAAACTCCTTCTCGTCGCTGTTCATTGGCAGCTGCGGCTTCTGACGCGTCCAGAAGGGAGGGGGAGAGAAAAGGGATCACTGGGAAGTGTCCGACCAGCCAGCCAGTCAGTCAGTCACCCACCAATGGCGAGAATAACCGCCAGTCTACTTGTTCATTGTATGGGACCCGTGAACCCGCGGGTCGCGAAAGTATGCAGCTATCATTCTCGTACATTTTGTGTGGCATACATAATTAAAGCTGACTTCAGTCCATTGCATCGATGGGAGCTGCAGGTTCGCGGGAGACGGAAGCGGCGGCGCGGGAGTTCGTCGACCGCGTCACCACGGAGCATAGCGTCACAGTGTTTGGCAAGACGTACTGTCCATATTGCGATATGGTGCGTGGGTTGGTGCCCGGAAAATTAACTTAACATGCAATGGATGTGATTTGTCATGTGCTGATTAATTTCGTTTACATTTTATTTATAAATGTTATTTTTTTATATATTTTGTGTTGAAAAACAACGTAACGATGTGTAATTACACAGGCCAAGGGTGTGCTGAATGAAGCTGGTGTCCAGTACCATGTAGTGGAGCTGGACGCGATGAATGTTGACAAGTTTACAGGCGTCGAGGTTCAGAATGCCTTGGCAACCGCAACTGGTACGCTGGCAAATGAAAACTTGTGCTACTACACGGTTAGGCTGAGAAAGTTTGCTGCTGCTGCAGGCCGTCGAACGGTGCCCAATGTCTTTATCAAAAAGGAGTCGATTGGTGGTGGCACCGACGTACAGGCTTTGTTCCAGTCCGGGAAGCTCATGGACATGCTGTGCTCGGCAGGAGCATTGTAAATAGAGTGAGTGATAGATGGCATTGCACTGTTCGTGCTGAAGTGAGCTTCTTGGCAAGGCATTCAGTCCTCGAACTTGTGATTGTGTGATGTGCGTGATGCACACGGTGCTGTAACAGGAGGCAGCAGAGTTCGGTAGTGACATTGTCAAATGGGATGCGAACTTCGTGATGCAGCCCTCTAGAACACGCGTGAAGTTAATTGCTCTTAAGTATACGGGTGAGCGCCCATAGTCGTCGTGCCGAAGGTTTCGCCTCAAACATGACCAGGAACTTTCGACTTGACTCTGACCTGTTTCTCCCTGGTAATACAGACGAGCTCCGTTTTCCCGTGCGCTTACGGTGGCGTTTCGACCGATATTAGCAGCATGAGATGGTATTTACGGGATTCTGCCAGAAACTACCCGTAGACTGACTACTTCGATGGGTAATGTCCAGTCGTCATCCTCTTTGCCTCCGCTCATTCGTCCAATCACTAATCATGATCGATCGTGGCTCGACCCGATTCGAACTCTCCGATCTTTCCAGCACCGATATCGCTCCGGTATACCGACTGGACGCATCGCGCATCTACTTTTTTTTCATCAGCTTCAATGTTTCGTCATCATTATCCGAGCCTTCCTTCCTTTCGAGTCTCACAACATCTTTTGACACGCAAACATGCCATCGACCAGGAACGTGACGGACAAACGCTTCGACGTCGTCGTCTATGGCGCCACTGGCTTCACCGGATCGCTAGTGGCTCGATACGTGGCTGCAGAATCCGAGTCGGCAGTCGGCAACCCGTCGGCTATCAAGTGGGCGCTGGCTGCTCGAAGCGCAACTAAACTGACGCAAGTGAAGGAGCAGCTCAAGACGGAGCTGCCAGAGATGGACCCCGCACTGATTGATGCGATTCCAGTGGTTGTCGCTGACAGCAGCAATGAAGAATCGCTCGTCCAGATGGTGCAGCAGACGAAGGTGGTCGTGTCGCTCGTGGGTCCGTACAAACTCTACGGCGAGTTGCTGATCAAAGCGTGTGCGGAGAACGGGGTGCACTACTGTGACCTGACGGGAGAGATCATCTGGGTCGAAGAGATGGTCGCTGCCTACGCCTCTTCGGCTGCTAAAACAGGCGCTGTATTGGTCAATTGCTGCGGATTTGAGAGCATTCCATCGGACCTCACGACGTTCTTAATGAGCGACTACATCCGGCACAACCATCATTCAAGTACGGGCGTCATTGACCTCTACTTCACTGGCATGAAGGGCGAACCGAGTGGGGGCACTCTCGCATCAGCGTTTGCAATCATGGACACGTCTTCGTCTGAACAGCTGCGGGCTTCGCGCAATCCCTTCTTCCTGACGGACGAGAAGACAATTGCTGGAAAGAAGGCAGCAGGTCTTGTCGAGCCCAATGCGAGTGGTATCCTCGTGCGTTACGACAAGATCGTGCGCACTTGGCATTCGCTGTTTATCGGTGGGCCGATAAACCAGGCTATCGTGCACCGTAGCAACTACCTTCTGCAGAACAAGTACGGCAATAACTTTGTCTACCGAGAGCGAATGGCCATTGGCGGGTTCTTCACGCAAGTGCTTGTAACTATCGGGACGATCATCGTGGCCACTGCACTGTACTTTGGCTGGACCCGTGCGTTGCTAAAGCGTCTCGTGCGGGCTCCTGGCCAGGGGCCATCGGAGGAGTCGATGTTGCAAGGCTATTTCGTCGCGGATGCCGTCGGGTACACGGATGACGGCAAGGTAGCGGTGCGGGCAAAAGTTGCTGGGTCGGGAGACCCCGGCTATTATCTCACGTCGCGACTTGTATCGGAGTGTGCGTTCTGCCTCGCGAAGGACGAGTTCGGTGAGTCCACATGTCTCGAAGGTGGCTTCTACACGCCGGCCAGCGCCTTTGGTCGCAAGTTGGTTGACCGCCTTCAGCAAAAGAAGCTCATGACTTTCGAGCTCAAGAACGTGGATCAAACCGTGGCAGGGAGTGGCCAAATGCTTTGATTGTAGTTGTGCGTATGGCAAACGTAGTGATGGGCATTGGAAGGTCTAAAACCGAAGATGTGTTGAAGAGACAACGTGCCGATGAACTTGATGTGGTCAATCGAAAACGCGATGGTCATTTGGAGTTGTCGAGCGTTCATTCTAATTGAAGGAAGGGGACGCCGCAAAAGGTTGTTGGTGCGAATTGAATTGCAACTTGGAACCCTGAGGTGCAGGCGTCACTAGATTTGGAATTCGGAGGATACAGCCCGCTGCTATCTTTGTGATCGGGTGGTCAGATGCAATAGCTACAGTCGACTTGTACTTACGGCGCTTTGTGCACAGCGACTATTTCACGACATCCTTTGCCTGCATCTTCCCAGGAATCGTGATGCTTGACTCCGAAAAGCACCTGCTAAGCTGAAAGTACAAGATGACGAGACGTACGTAGTTACCATAGACAAGTTCTTAGCAAGGGACGTAGTTACTATAGACAAGTTCACAGCAAGGGCACGAGCCAAAGCAAGCAGTGTCCAAAACGGTCGTTTATACGCGGTTGGGACCGATAGAGCCGGATCGCGAGTCATGTGTTTCATGACGTAGACTACAGAAAACGACACGTAACCTACTACAAGTTTTGCTGAAATGATTGCGTCACAACTTCTGCATAAATATCCGTAACTAATGAAATAGTGGAATATTTTTTGATGGTGGGGTACGTAAGTGACTCTGACCTCCACGAATTCGTCATGCGAAGAATATTTCGGCTTAGTCAGTAGCGTCTTGCTGCAGGTATTGATAAAATAAATTAAATAATCAAATAAGTAGGGGGAAAAGGCATTTATTCACAAAAATAAAAGTGTGATCCAGATAATAAGATATTAAAATGGAGGGCTAGATCATTGAAAAAGAAAAATTGGCAGAAATGATGGAAACAAAAATCCAAAGATAAAGACAACATAAAAAGGGCCCCATGTCTTTGTATGCTCAAGTTAACGTGGTACACATAAAGCTTTTTTTAGTTTTATCTAAATTTATAAAGTACGGCTGTGCGCTCCGCCCTGCAGGAAGAGCCGTGGAGGGGGTTCTGCTGCGGAGGTGCTGCACTCCCAGCCACCAGTTATGGGCGTGGGCGGCACAGGAAAGATGTGAACGCGTCTTTGTATCGTCTGCCGTAGCCGTATATGAAGACAACTGGTACTAAAGTCGTTATTTCTGATGGTTGTTTTCTAAACGTTTAGTTTTTATTTATAAAGTTCTCAAATGCTATAATTGGAAATATAGCTATTTTTGCATCAGATGCAAATGTCGTTATAGCTGCTACCGCACAGACTATAGCCGTTGTTGTTGTAAGTCATTTTTGTTACTGTAGCTTGTGTTACTACTGCTGCTGCTGCTAATGTCTTTGATGTCGTTGCTGCTGTTGTTATTGGTACACAAAGTAGCTGTTGTTTTTGCTGCTACTACAGCTCTTTGCTACTGCTTCTCTAGCAATTGCAGTTGGTGATCGTGGTGTTACTACTGTTTTGTGGTGTTTTGGTACTACAGTGCTGCTGTTATAGTTGTTTCGTTGTGGGATAGAAATTCCCTTTCTGCTTGTACGCAAAGAAAATCGAGCATATCTGACCATTCAAAAGACTACCATGATCATATCCTATCTTTTTAATCTTATTTACAAAATTGAAGGCTTGACCAGTGCTGATGGCGACACTTTACAGTAGCTGTTAATTGAGAGAGAGAGAGATGCAGACGTGTCTGAATAACCATTAATGGTTGCAGGATGTCTGATATATCTTAAGCCTGGTTAGCAACGCCGGTTCTTCAGTCAAGTCCGGTGGTTGCACGGGGCTAGTCGCCCTAAGCGAATGCTCTCTTGGTTGTCCGTCTTAATATCGTTGACATACTAACAAACGCGCTCCTTGAATTTTCGTGTCGGCCCTCCGCTACTCCCGCTTCGCTACTGCCCGGAGCTGCCGCATACCTGTTGGCCAAAATTCCTTGACGCAACCGTGGAGTGTAACTTCCGCCTGATTTAAAATTTCCCGATTGCGCTGTATTCATAAGCTTGTAATGCACACGCTGCTCAGTATGCGCCACAATCGCATCCATACTGTTACGCACGCTTGAACCTCATCAGGGTGGTCTCGCCCGATCCATTCTAAGCCCCCGAGGGTAATTCCGGAGAATGCCGACTGGCGCTTGCTGGGAGAAATCCCTTGAGATTGCCTAGCTCCCAACGTTGTCCCGTCCAATGGCAAATAAGTTTTTGCCAACATGCCTGCGCACATGGGCAGGACCAGAAGATGTGTTCGAGAGTCTCTTTTTCCCCCTGGCAGCACTGCAGCTTGCGACAGCTGGGGTCCCGCTGCCTTCCAGGAAAATAAGTGTTCAGTTGCCGCACTCCCACACGATAGCAGACCCATACGTGATACTCCGTGAGCTCCTTGCCATGTGCCCAGAGAGAGTATGGTGTCTGGGCTAATGCCCCGGCGTGCCCAGTAATCCGGCGTGCCGCTTGCTCGAGTTTTGACACCGTCTGTGTTAGTGTACTTCCTGCTCCTTTGTACCATCGAAACGGCTGTTTCTTCAACGCCATCAGGACGTGTTTGTTCGCGATTGAGTCCTGAACACTCCATGGAAGACCGTGTAGAAACGGATGCGCATAACAGACAATGCCCCGCGCTGCCGCGCTCTGACGGGGCGCCTGACAGTCGGCTGCTGCTGACGATACTCACTGTTGTCTTCTGCAACATCCTAATGGAGACCATCGCTCTCCTGATCTAGCAGAATGACATTTTGCTGTTCAATACTCGTATTGGCTACGACGCCCTGAATTCGACCTGGCGAAAGAAACGTCCAGTCATAGCCTCTCACGAGGTCGGGTGGGTGCCTCTGGCGCAGGTTCAGACGCACTTGCAGACCACCCCCTATTTCCATAGCTGGTGCACTCAACAGTATCGCTATCGCCCAGCGCCTTAGTTTGGCCTGTTGATGCATGCCCAGTTCAGCTGGTGGTACGATGAAAGAGTATGTCTGGACCCAAGTCCGTTGCAGCTCCAGCCCCGCTATGCTGCATGGCAAAATTTTGGCATACTTCCGAGCGGACAAAGAATCGCCTTGGTGGTTCGTAATCACAGGGATTATCCGCCCATGAGTACGTGGGCCAGAACAATACCTGTTTTAGTGTCATGGCCCGGGAACAGCAAGGCAATGGTCGTGGAAGCTCCAACACCCATTCCCCCGGCGTAGCCCAACTGATTGATGTGGATGCTAGGTTCTCCAACTCAGTCCTGTACCGTTGCTGTCGTTCGACTATGTCCGGCAGACTAGGGGACAGCCACGGCCCGAGGAGCTGCTTCACATAAGTACCGAAGTTCGCCGGGATCGAGATGACTGTCGTATTCTTTCGGTGAGTGGCGACACCCCCTCTGTCCAGGGCCTCGTAAAGCCCCTATACATCCATGCCTGCCAAGCCTCAAAATATATTTCCTTGCGTTGTGTAAGCCATAGGATGACCTTTTTCACCCGCTGTGTCTTGCACGCTATCAGTATTGATGCCAGCCCGACCTCACCCGTTTGTTGAAGTGTTTGCAGCAGCGTCGGAGCAACCTGTGGCGAGAAGCGTCAGTACTGGTTAAGAAGTTCCACAGAAATTGCTTCTGGAGATTTCGGAGCTGAAGTTCTGCCCAGAGTGGAAGCTCGAAGACCGCCGCCGTAAACAAGATCGACGGTAACATGGTGACGTTCAAAATTAACACCCGAAGCGAATCACTGGTGGCGAGTTGAGACGCGGTGGCCAGGCGACGCTGTACGTTATAAATTTGCGCTGCCCAGTTTGTGTCCGTGACCTCACCAGCCCCAACATAGTAGCCCAGGTAACGCGTCGTATCCCCGTGCTGGACCACCGGGATACCGTTAAACTCCGTCGTATGGACCTCCAAATTAAGAAATATGATCTTGCTTTTGCGCGGTTGCATCTGCAAGCCCGAAAGCTTGCCAAATTGCTCCACGATCCGTAGCACTGCCGGAAGTTGAGATGCCTCATGTAGGAAGACAGTTGTATCATCGACGAAAGCCGAGACTTTGTGTTTGGCACCATCTCCGTTGGGCACCTCTATGCCGGTGATCGCTCATTAGCATTAAACGCCAATGCTAGAACTTCTGCCGCGATAATAAATAACAAAGGAGCAAGTGGACATCCTTGGCGATTACCAGAAATCACCTCTTGGGGATTCGAAAGCTCCCCGTTCACAAGGAAATGGGCCGTGGTTCCAGTATGAATATTTCTGATCATTGTAGTAAATTCCGGCGAGAACCCAAACCTCGTAAGTGTCACGAGTATATAATCTCGAACAACCGTATCGTAGGCCTTACAGAAGTCCAACAAGAGAATAGCTTCGATACTCATCACAGGCACCTCGAACTTGGCCGAAATTGTAGTGAGGACGTCCATCATCATCATAGCAGTCTTTTACATCTGCTTCCCCTGCACAAAGCCTTGCGGCGAATCACCAAATAATTTACCCAAAAGCGTTGCACGCGTGTAAGGATGACCTTGAGGAAGATATTTTACCCAGATTGTAGGATAGCAATCGGACTGTAGTCCGTCGCATCCTGCGAGTCGACCTGTTTGCGCAAAGGAATTATTAACCCTTTTAAAAAGGATGGAGGAGGTTGACCGCCCCGAAGTAGCTCGTTACCAATGGCCACCATAGCAGGAGCCATGACCGCCTGAAAGTCCTTGAAAAAATCGTTATTAAGTCCATCCATCCCCGCTGCTTTGTGCCGGTTTAGGCCCTTAATGGCAGTTATCACTTCGGTCAAGCTAATAACCCATATAAGCATGCCATTGTCGAATGCCGAGAGACAGCGACTGGCAGGAACCTGAACAAATGCATCAAAAGCAGCCTCCAGTTGCGGCCGCTGTAGTCGATGGTGCACGACTCCCAGTATAGGCTGCCATTCCGAAGCAAATCGGTCAGCAGTCGTCATCGTGCGTGTAAACGCTGCTCCGTTGATGTGACGAATAGTGGTAATGGTCTGGTCCTTCTCAAAGAAAGACACACGCATAAAGTTACTCCGAAGTTGATCCATAGTTCGCTCAAGACGGTTGCCTAGTCGGACTGAATGCTCCTCCCGAGCCTCCTCCACCGTGACGTCTATCAGCGCTTTGCGCGTCCGAAGATGCGCTCGGCTTTGGGCCTGGACCCGGCGCAAAACTAAATTTCGCCTCTGGGACTGCACGGATGTTGAGCCGCTTTATACATTAAAGGCACGTTCCAGCGGTATGTCCCAAGTCGAAGTCGTGGCACCGTGTCCTACCCCTTCTTCTATCAGGATGGCCAGTAACTCAGCTACAACACGTACTGGCTGCGCCGACCGGATGGGGTAAGTAATTGGACGGTGATTCTTCCGGGCAACGTGAGTCACGGCCTTGTCGTCAAAGTTTAACTGTACCCGTTGATGGTCCGAATGGACATGAGGTTTGTCAACCGAAACCCATTGTACCACCGACGACTAGTCTTGAGGCACGTAAAAACGATCGAGCCAACTCGCCACATCCGGACCTTAGTATGTGAAAAAAAATCGAGAGGGTCATGTTCCTCCCCATCTCCTTTGACGTTCTCACTGAGAATGCGAGCGTCCACAAGATGTGCGGACTCCAAAAGAGTCTGAAGCGCTACGCTTTCGGGACGTCCCGCCCGTGTCCCACCTAGCCTGTCAAGCGTTGGACTCTGAACACAACTAAAATTTCCCGCTATAATTGTGGCTTGATGGGACCAAGGCCAGCTCTGTAATTCAGTGAAAAAAACATTCGCGGTCGGATTATTCGTTAGGCGCGTAAATATTCACCAACCAAAAATCTCCACAATCAACGGCAACGACTTGATCTGACCAGCAAGAAATGTTCCAAGCGGCTGTTGAGTCGGCTATAGAAGAGTGAATTAAGATTGCCCTACCAGCCACTCGTCGTTCACTGATACTCCAATACGACAACGCGGACTCACCGGTTCGAGAAGGTTACTCCCATAACCTGGCCCATGTAGAGGCCAGGTAGTCGACCTCTCCCTGGTTGCAGACATTAGTCTCTTGCAGCATCCAAGTCAGCGGTCGGTCCGCTACCGGCGTCCGTCTCCAGGCAGCAAGCCATCTATCTCGGGTCTTGTCTCGGAATATCCTGAAGTTCTAAGATTCAATTCGTCTGGCTCCCTGTAACCGTTGAGAGCACCGGTCGAACTGCTCCGAACGGTTCGCCCGCCGGAGATAGATGTGACGGCCGTAAGCACCCGTAGGACCGTGACCGCTCCCTTGGAGTAGAGCTCCAATTCCAAAGGCATGATAGCCCTTAGTAATGATGGACGCTTACCTCCGCTCCGTGCTCTATAGCACCGGCAAAAAAGCTCGCGAGTTTAACTTACTCCACAGTGTGAAAATTTGTAGCGTACGCTTCACAATACGGCCCCACTGTTTTTAAGAGCCTGAAGGTGACGGTCTAGACGGTGCACAGCCCCGTTATCCGTCCAATCCTCTTGACCAAGTAGAACTTGTATTTCTTTCTCTTTCAGTCCGTCGCAAATAATATGCTTGCCTGAGCGACTTTTGTAGTTCACGTCATATAGTTTCAAGATCGGGTCGTTGCCATAATCATAAGCGCGGAGGCGTATCCAGTCGTCGCGGCTGTCGGTAAGAGCCGGCAAAGGATATGGGGCTGGCCTTGTGAGCTTGACTCCCCATGCATCCAACCACTGGCGCGTCGCAGGATGGGTCATCCTTGAGCGACAGGAAATCAAGTGTGCTTGGACACAGCTACGTCTTCAGGCGGCTGTCCAGCTCTCAAAAACCTGGTCGTCGATAGCTTGGAGGATCTCCTCAGGATAGGGGAAGCTTTGCAGTAAGGAAAGAAGCACCCGCCGCTCCCGCTGCGACACCTGAACTCACTCGTCTGTGCTACTGTGCATGTGGGGAAATGCGTCCGTAGCCGAAGTCGGCCAAGCATTCCCATGTTTACGCCAGAGATCCGGCCCAGTTCGCTCTTGGGGCCATGAGATCCGCTGACCCGATGCAGTGTGGGAAGTCTTGCATAACAGCCTCCCCATCTTGAACATCTACCGCTAGCTTAGCCCGCATAATTTGTCGAATTTTTTCCCCTATGGCAGGAGTAGTCGAGTGCGCCCTCTTTTGAGCAATCGGTTGCTCATAGGAGTCCCAAGCAGAGAGAAGCAACGCCAGTTGGGACTTGTTGGCGCTTGGATGACCAATCGACAAAGGGTCGATAGTGACCTCTGTGGAAAGCGGGTACTCGGTAGTCTGCATAACGACGTCCTTGCCCCCCGAATGTTGCGACTCCGTGGGGTCCATTTTTGTCTCGTCGAGAAGAGAGCACGAATCAACACTTAGAGACCCGGTATGAACGTAAGCCGAGTAATTATCTCCCCGGAATCTCAAAACAAGAGGTAGGTTCTTGTCCGTAGATTTAGCTACTGCGATCGCGTGCGCGCACTGGCTAATCTCCAATGGTACGTGTTGTCCGGTCTCGAAAATTTTGGCTCCCCTTGTAATCGTGCTAGGACGATACAGGGAGCAGGCCCAGAAATTGAGGTCATCCGTTCTGAGTGCGAGTACAAATATCTGACGCTGCAGTTATTTTGCCGCTATCGATAAAATCTCGCAACTTCCCCAATTATGCTTCTCAATTATTGCTAGCCGGGTTGATGGTGTCACAGAGTATTTATGTAGGTACCACTGAAAAATTTTCGAGGAACTCCTAGCGTCCATTCCTTCACAGCCCCGCGACACATTTACTAACGTTCCCGTGCGGTCAGAGTGGGTAAATTGTTCGTCAAAATTTAACAAACCCTTCCAACGGACGCCACGCTTATTACAAGCGGTACTGTTCTCCAAATTAGTGTCTTGGGCAACCAGATCATGGTCCGCCACCGCTTGCGCGATCTCTATCGCCAGACAATTCCCTGTAGCGGGGGTTATGACTAATCTTATGGCAAGGGCCCGTTTAATAGCGGGTAAATCGTGGATATCGCGTTCCACAAAACTCTTCACCGGTAGCAAGAGCCCCATGCTAAAATTACCATCTGCAAATACCTTGCGTAACGTAGCTCGTTCTCGCTGCTTGCGTAACAAGCTGAGATGTCGGTCGCCGGCTAGGTAGTTTCGATGAACGGACATGCAACAAAATTCTTCTCGGTGGCCAAAGTCTGGGAGACCTCGACCGGCTTGGTGAAGGTCTCAGCCGTGAGGTAAACTGTGTCCGCGACAGGTGGGGTGGGTGTCCCGGTCGGTAGACAAACATCTTTTTCCTCAGGCCACTCAGCGAGACCTGCGTAAAACGATGATGCCATTGTATGACGCGTTGCAGGTGTCTTTGTACGGATTTCGAGCTTCTTACCCCTGCGGATAGGGACTGTCACCCATTTCCTCTTGGGCACTGGTGTAGTCCCACGGACAGCCGAGGGATTTTGTGAAGTGCCAGCGCTAGTTATCGTGGTTTTGGGTGTGTTGGGTGTACCTGACACGGACGAGGTAGGTTCCACGACCGCCTGCCTCCTTTTGTCCTGGTCCTGCTGTAGTTTCAACCTGGTCGCAGCAGCCTTTTTAAGTTTATCCAAACTGCTAAATGGCGTGGCCAAATCCTCTAGACTGGGAATTTTGCGGTCCGTTGCAACCCTGCTGCCGGGTCCGGAAAGTTTTTCCGCCTTCTACGAACATCTCGCCATGGTGTGACCCGAGTCCCCACAATAGAGACATTGTAGACGACGCCCAACATCTGGGTGGTTAAGAATGATAGGTCCGCCAAATTAAATAAGGTGTACGATTCCGCGCAAAATACAGTACAGCCTGCCATCCTGACTGTCAGGCGCCACACAGTAGAGGTTCGGGAATTGGGTGTACACGTGTCTATAACCTCCAAATCAAAGTCTGCAGCAATATGCTCCTTGAAATAAGCAGTCAGCCGGCCAATATCCGTGTAAAGGGTGACGTTATGTAGCTCCACTGCATATTCCCGCTCACTAGCCAGACGCGTTCCATCACGGCTGAGTTGACGGGTCCAAACCGACCCCTTGGAAGGAAGTGCATGTTTATCACACGGTAGACCTCGTTCCGAAACGGCACGGATACCAACTCGAAATTCCGGGCCGTGATACGGTCCAAAAATTAAAGCGAATGCAGCGTTGAAGGGGGTTATAGCTTATCGTCATAGCAACATTAAGAAAACGCCAAAGAACTTCCTGGTCCAATAGCAATCGTTCCGCAGCCAGCAATATGTCTGCCTTGATAGCACTTGTGGTCTGTCGACACAGACGAGTGTTTTTCCCGCTACGCAGGTGCAATACGAGTTCACCCTCCACCTGAGTTCGAATAGTCCGGGCAAGTCGGACGCGTTCCTTCGAATCCAGAACGCTACTTATAAACACCAGCAGGCGCCTGCATACGATGCTTCCCTCCGCTAGCCTGCTGATAATCCTCCACTCATCTAGTGTGCCGTCACGAAGCTGGACACTGCTCTTGGAGGTTGCTGGCTGCAGACACAGCGTCCGTATCGTCCCAATGTCCTGCGAGTTGTAGACCGCCGGATTGAACAAGACGACTTTGTAAGTGTCACGGTGATTGTGGAAGTCTTCCCCTCCCTCCGTGGCTCCACGGTCCGTCTTGAGGGACGTTGCCCACTATTTCATCGGCTTCAGCCTAGCCCATTTGACCTTACTGATCACGCTCTGCACAATAGGTAGGAAGGTTTAATCAGTGTTGTAAAGTGTTTGGGTCACTTTTGTGGTGTATGCTGCCCATGTCGCGTACGTGGCATCACAGCTCACACACGCGGCCTCGAATAATTGGAAAAGTGTGACCTATTCTTCACGTCGTAATATTGGAAAACGCTTCTTTCCCGGAGGGACTAGCTTCTCATCAATTTTGACGGAGTCGTGGACTATCGTGAATAGCTCGGCTAGCGTCGTAAGCCATTTGTCACATTCAGGGTCATTTATCGCCATTCGTCGAGCCTCTCCAAACGCCACGTACATTTCTTGCGGCCGGACGACTGAGGGCGAACCGTCCGGAGTTCCATCACGCGTCGTAGTGTCAATCGACGGGTCTCCTGGGACAGGCGGTGAACAGGCTTCCGGCTTGTAATTTAGCGACGGTTGGGAAGGGACCGGCTCCGTTTTGATTCCCTGCTCAGCCTTAGGCGACGGTTGACAGGGAACAGGCATCGAATCGGTAGAGACACTCTCAGGAACGGCTGTGTCGCCGAGATTTACAGACGAGGCAGACGAGGGTCTCATGTTATCTCCCTCCGAAAGGACAGCGCGTTGATCCACCCCTCCCCTACTGGGCATCGACCTTTCCCTGGGAGAGTGGCCCTCCGGCTCCTCGGGTCGACGATCGCCAACCTCTTGGTCGGGCGGTTCACTGTCAGGCGGCGGCAGTTCCCCCGTGACGGGGTACGCCGAAACGCGCATGGGGCGTGGAGGACTGAAGAGGCCGGGCTCAGGCTGAGAAGCGTGAGGAAGGTTTGTGTACAAAGAGTACTTTCAAACCTGGCAGCTTGTACGGGGTTGACAGGGCGGTGCGCGGAGCGTTGCAAATTTGACAATTGGTAGCTGTTAATAATTTTTAACACCACGGACAGCAACTTGGGCGTGGAAAGTTCTAGAGTTATAGAATGGCAGACGTATTAGCATATTGCGTGTGAATAGCGATTTTGATTGATTAAGTCCTTCATAAATAAACCATATCAGTATATTTGTGCCACGTTAACTTGAGTATACGAGGACATGGGGCCTTATTTTATATTCGTGATCGAAAAGGCTTGTTGTATTTTCCCTAATGAATAGTATTTATTGGACATCTATTTATTTATAAGCGAATCTGTGATTACCATTATCGAATTAATTTTCTTATATATGACTTGAAGGATGATGTTTTAAGTAAGTTTTATCAAACGTCCATAAATAAAAGCTTTGGTATAACTATATAGCTGCGTAAAATGCTCATGACGCAAATTACAAGAAACAACCCACTGCAATTTCGATACAAGTAAATGTTCCAAATAAGCATAACTAATACACTGAAGAAAAAAATCATTATTACGAACAATTGTTGGTTCCCATACTTATGTTAAGCAAACTAATGTGTCATTAAGATATTACATTACCGGTAGGTAGCTGGATAATTTAACATATCGAGAGCGACACTTCTGTCAAGAACAATAATGCGCCGTAAGACTACCACTTTTTCATCGTCTACCGTTTTAAGGAATTTGCGGCCGAAACACATTAATGCCCAACCCTGTTTCCTCGTTCTAAAGATAAACCACCATTCGCTATTGTGCATATTTAGTACCAGCTATGGATAGAGACAAAATGCAGCAGAAATTTAAATCGTTTTTATATTTCGACGTCAAGTATCAGCAGACAAGAAACAACCTTGTCTTAATTATTGAGTTCAGCCCAGAGTGTAGATGTCCATAGTGTGCAATGGGTCAATGATATGTGCGCTAAAACTAAGTTGTGTGCATACAAAATGGCTTTTACTTCGTTGTGTTTTCTTTTTCTTTGGTATTTACCCTCCAACAAAAATTGCTTTTATTACACTCCTACTATATATCAATTGATGATATGGCGTCTCGTTGATATGCAATTGCGCAGCAAAAGCTGACACCCTCCATTCATCTATAAACTGCGGCTCCGGTCTAAAGTCATTCCCGTGTACTCCAATGTAGCCTAGAGACAATGATATATCTAATCGTTATTTAAAAGGTGTTCGCACTCTTAAAGACTGGAGCTCGAACTTGTTGAAAGCGATGCAATCACAGCTATAGGACCTGGCTGATGAGGAAGCACAATTTTAAGCTTCGTTTGCTCTACTTCACAGTGCTTAGCGATCAGACGCTTCTCGTATGGACAAGGTCTGTTTGAGGTTAATAGAAACGGTAGAGCAAAGGTTTGACAGTTGGATATCACGATACGAGTGCACGTATCGTCTACTACATATAGCAGTTTTATATATAATGCTACGTGAAAATAATGTTTAATGTTTTCAGGAATGGATAGCTCGCATGATCGTACACATCGATTGCATGCTTAAAAAAATGTCAATCTACCCTCACTTTTCTGGTAAAATCCCTTTAGTTTAATATAAGGCTACGTGATTGGCTAGTTTATAGACAAGCCTTGAGGTAGAATATCACTACAACTGGTATTCTTCATCTACTTGACTTTTTCTAGCATAGTCCGCAAACGTTCTTATGTGCTCTTTACCTCAAGATTCTTTCAAGCTTTGCCTAAAACGTTTGCGGACTCCGCGCTTTTACATCCACAGACGCTCCCAATCTCTCTCTCTTTATTCTAGCGGTCGACGATTCTACAACAGCAAGCAATCTACATCGCGCTAACATGCAAAGATTTATGCGCAACTGAGTAGTACGCTGCTTCTTATTTTATTATATAATGCAAGTGTATGGTTTAAGGGAATCGAACCGTTGCATGAGACTTGTCGTGCAAAGGCATATACAAGTCTGAGAGAGGTTGTAAGTGAGATTCGCACTAGACCTTTCATATGGTTAAGGTTCAGCAACTGCATACCTACAACAAAGTGCATGTTATACACGGATGAAGTCTACTTAAAGTCATTACATGATGTCATTGAGTTACATTATCAGAGCGCTTATTCAGTGTAAGCGCGCTGCAAAAACAACGTCTCTTGAGAGCGCGCGTCTAACCCCTTTTTCTTTTAGCCAATAACAATTTAGATTTCTGTGGAATTCGTTAAATAGAAATCAGTCTTTAATTTGCAACACTTGGTGCGTGTGTGCCAGAAGAAGGGAGACCGCATCTGAACACACAAATAATACTAGCCTACAACCAATTAATGAGGTAGTCGGAAGACGCCCACCCAAATCTCACTGCACGCGAAGAAGATGGTAATTCCGCTTCCTCGCAGTTTCCTAAATGTGTGTGTTGAGGTAATGCGCGACATATTTATGCGCCCGCCTGATCATTAAGATCGTGCATGCCGCGTGCACGCGGCGCGTGTTATTAACATTTGTCCTGTTCGTTAATGTGTAGATTTCGAAATTATTGTGCTGTTCCCGATATGTTAATGTGCCATGTAGGTCCGCAAAATAGCATGCAGAAAGACACAAAGATGGTCGTGCATAGAGAGCTTTTGACAAGTGTGCATGTGTAGCTTAAACGGATGCTCCTGTTGTCAAGAAAATGTCAAGGCACCGCAACAAGAAAGATTCTTCTTTGCTGTAATGCAATTGCTGGTGCTGCCAATGGCCCTGAGAAAACTGCATGCTTGTTGAAGTAAGGGTCAATCTTAATAAAGTACGAGTTTAAGTGCCTACAATATCGATCGACTCGTACTAGAGAATGCGGTCAAAAAATATATTTTGATCTAACATTATCGGTTCCGTTAAATTTTGTAGGTGTTGGTTCGATTAAACTTCCACATCTTTGTGTTTGTAAGCCACCATTATGCAACAGCCGCATCTTCGTCGCAATTTCGAACGAATTGATGCATCGGTGGTGCTGATCGTTGCTTGCCTTGGTTCGATGTGATGGACACACACTCACTCAATTACTCAGACACATCTGATCATTTTGAGAGCGTCGCTTACTGTGGCTGAAACGCCGACAATGACGTCCGCCACACAAGGTTTTTGCTATAAAAAAGGTTCGATTGTGTGGGATTACGACAAAACTGACTTTTAAAATTAATTGATAGTGATATTGCCACAGCCTCTGTTCCTGAATCATAATTAGCCAATCACGCACGTTGTTTTGGACTGAGGAAATTTTACCTAAAACTGAGGGGAAATTAAGGGTGCCGTTACTTAATTAATACCACACTTCAACTTCGTAGCAATTTTTGTCATCAATTGATGTATCTCTTAAGCGCAACAGCGTTCACACACTCGCAGTTGTCGACAAGGGCAGTCATTATGCTAATTATTCCTTCATATATTCAGGCTGACGATGCCTTAAAAGCGAGCTTTGATCGATATGAGGAGGCAATCGATAAATTATAACGGGGTAGCCCGCTACATGATATTGACCTTAAACGGTGTCAATAGGAACATTGTCTAGCATGACTATTCCCCACCAATATCATACGGAATGGATGATATTTGAAGGAATGTTATCCCCTTATGGATAATATTCATGCGCTGCTCAAAGATTGGTAGTTGAAAGACGTATCAACCATAGATTACCACCAATCGCTGCTAGACGCGCGCAATGAGTGGTGAGAAGGTTGTCGTCATACGACGACATAGTTTAAAATAGTCAGATAAAGATTACAGTTACATTGATAGCTTAACTACATTAAATACAGTTCTCTTTTTACCTTTTTTTCTCAGCTTAGTCGTTGAGTTGAATAGAATCCTCTGCATGTACTAGTGTAAGTGAAGTTTCGTGGCACCCCAAACAAAGGTGCCTCGTTACACCCGGAAGAACTTCGTAATCCGTCCAACGACTACTTGTTGTCCGTCCGACATGAACATGTTGACGTAGAAGACAACAGCTTATACGACACACGTGAAGGCTACTCCCATCTGAGTAACTCATAATGGGAGGTAGTCGGCCGCATGAGTGAGCTTTATGGGCGAACCTGCCATCAGTGGCAGGTTGGAGTCTCTAAGCAGAGACCAGCATCTTGATGCTATCAACAAGTTCCCACAAGGGTTACTTGCCGTCGAACGACATAAGATAGCATTGCTACAACAGCAAGGATCTCATCAGTCGGTGGGCGGCCGACGCACATGCGTTGACCCGAAACCTTGAAGATTGATATCTCAAGGTACAAGGGAACCGATGAAGACTCTCTTTTGAAATATTTTGTCGAGTTAGACGATGCCATCAGGACCCGTCACATCGAGGGTGACGAGATGCAAGTCACCTTCATTCTGTCAAATTTGACAGTACGAGCAAAGACTTGGGCCTTAGGGCTCAGCCGAGTTCAGAGCACGCTCTGCACTCTTGAGGCTGAAGCAAGGATAGTGTGACGTGCACGCTTACGCACAGAACCTGCTCTACCTTGCGAGTAGCGTCACGTAAAACCCTGTTGATGAGCACACGCTCATCAACGTGTCACCTACGGCCTTGTAGATGGGCCGGTGAAGACCTACAAGTTCCAAGAGGCCTTCCATACGCTGGGAAAGGCGATAGCGTACGCGGAACAAGAAAAGTTCAGCCTGACACAGTCTCAGGCTAACTGGTCAAACTATCGTCCGACGAGACGACAGGAAACAGGAGGTCCCGAACCAATGAGCCTTTGTTACAACGAGAGCGAGATATCTCGCTCTCTGAGTCACAAGCGAACTGCAAGATGCCATTGCTGTCAGAAGATTATACACTACGCCCATGAGTGTAGTGTCTTAAGCACCACATCACGTCCGAAGGCAGGACGTGATGACCGCCGTTGGCCGAGATAAGTTCCAAGGCGCGGATCCGACCATGTCCTTACACCGCGAAAGCAAGTCGGACCGTCAAAAAACGGTCAGAGTCAGTAGGGGCTGAGCACCCTGCTTGTTTAGCAACTTCAAAGAAATTTGCAAGCCTCTTAACGAAGATTGTTCCCCACACACAGTCGTTGTGTGTTATTCCCCCTAGTGATGAGGAGTCCCTCATCGCTTTGAAGATCGAAGTGACAAGTGGAATGTCGATTCGCGCCCTAGTTGACTATGGGGCATCGAACAGTTTTTTTCGACGTCAGTCGCTAGAGGATAATAGGCTCAACTATGTTGAGCGAGAGTTCCCTCAAACGAGGATGACTGTGTGCCCCTATACAGGCGCATCCGTTACAGTGAACAAACGTGTAGTGGGAATCCACTACACGCTAGAAGGAAAGCAGTACGATGATGGTGACTTCATCGTACTGGATTTGGATGACAAGTTCGATGCCATCCTCAGTCTATATGGCTCAAAAGATACCAGCCACATATCGGCTAACAGCATCGATCCGTGGATATGCTTGCCTTTGGTCATCAGATGGCCATCTGATGAGCGTCTTGGAGCTACCACAAGCGTATGGATGTACTACGAGTGAGCACGATGGCCTCACTTTTGGTATGGTCGTTAGTACGACTGCACAAGATCACAGTGTAGAAGGCCACTACACTGTGGAACCTGATCCGGCACCTGTGTAGAGGCACAGGCTGCGACGAAGGTTCACCACTCGAAGAAATTAAGTGAACCGGAAGACGGATGCACACCAAGAAGGATGCATCCGAGAAGAGAGGGTCAGTGTTGCTAGGATGAACAACACATTGAAGCGAGATCCACTATCAGAGAGGCGATCGTAGAGCAAGCCCGATCGACTGAAAGAGAGTCGATCGAAGAGGACGTGACTGTGGTAGTACAACCACAGTCAGTGCACGTAATAGAAGAAAGCTCTAGCTTTCCCGAGGGTGATAACTTCCGAGAAAGTTATGTTGAGGGTGTGGATCCCCAACCACCTGCGGATGTGTTTTCCCAGAAATCACCGAGTCAGTTAATGTCTTGGTGAATGACGGAATAAGCGTAGGCGCTAATACACTTGATTTGGTGACGCCCCTGAAGTCAGATTCGGAGGTAGTCAACTTTCCAACGCTAGAATCTAATTGAATTTTTGCAAGATCTGCGTAGTGACAAGATCAAGCAGATCTGCGTACTTGTAACAGAGGACGAATACGTCGACTCTATTTGGTCGGCACAAGTTTTTGCTGAGAACGAACGGGTCCTCGGTAGGTGATCGATGGACGAGAGTGTCCTCGATGAGAAGACCCGGATTGAGCGATTTACGACTCATTCTTGGGAGTCTTTGAAGACAAATCCTCAGTATAAGGATTTAATTGGAATCTGGTATGTTTTCCCGGAACCCTTGCCATGCAAGTCACCTGAGGATAAAGGCACCCGGCTAGAGATCGAACCGAAACCCGCTTCGAAGTATTGTGTCATGTAGCAGTGGTTACTGCCTCGTGAACAGGTCACAGCGATCGACAAAGTCTTTGCCGATCGTTTAGCGGCCGGTCATGTGAGGGAATCAACATCCCCACACAGCTCTCTGACCTTCTGTGTGCGAAAGTCCACAGGAGGGTGGCGGATTGTACATGCGTTCAACAAACTGAACGCTGCAACGGTACCGGCTCAAACGCCGATCCCAAGGAAGGATGTCATCATAGATGGTATGGCAAAGAGTACCATCTTTTCGTCCATGGATCTGATGGATGGATTCTATCAGATCCTCATGCGTGAACGGAATATCCCTTACACAGCAGTGAGCACCTCCAGTGGTATGCTCTGGGAGTGGCTAGTAAAGCCACATGGGCTAAGTAACGCCCCCGCAACGTTTAACAGATGTGTTACGAATCTGCTGCGATCGGTGCGCGACTTTGCACCGAGTTACTTCGACGATGTCTTCGTCCATAGTCGGGCTATGGATGGAAAGACGGACGTGGAAGTTCATAGAATCCACGTTCGGAATGTTCTTACACTAATGCGAGAACATAAGTTGTTCGCGAAACTCAAGAAGTGTATATTTGCAGCGAACAAAATACCACTTCTTGGCTGCATTGTGGGTAAAAAGAATGTACGCCCTGATCTGGAAAAGATCAAGGCGATTAGCGCTTGGCTTGTGCCAGTCGACGTCAAGGAACTTCGAAATTGCCTTGGCTTGGCGGCGTACTTGCACAAGTACTCGCGCAACTATGCCGAGATGGCCGTAGATCTCTTTTGTCTGCTAAAGAAAAAACAAGAGGTAGTCATGGATTGCTGAAGGTCAGCAATCCTTCGAAGGTATCAAACCAATCTTGATACAATCGCCTGTCTTGGCGATTGCAGACCAGGACAGACCATTCCATGTGGTCTGTGACGCCAGCGATTTTGCAATCGGCTACGCGTTAATGCAGTACGACTCAGACGACGTAAAAGGCGTCGTCTGTTATCAATCGCGTCAGCTGCAAGCAGCTGAGCGTAAATAACCAGTGCATGATAAGGAGCTCCTTGCCATGAAATATGCACTGGCTTTGTTTCGGGTCTATATATTAGGAGATAGACTCTTCATTATTTATACCGACCATGCGTCGTTACGCACGGCCGTGAATAGTCCACACCTCTCTCAACGAATGGCAAGGTGGCTGTCTTTCTTCGCGGAGTTCAACTTCTCCGTCGAGTCCACACCAGGACGACTTAGTGTCGTCGCTGATGCTCTTTCGCGTCGGCCCGATTTCGAGCCGACTGCTTAACACCACAGTAGGGGTCTCTTCACTGTTGCAACACCATCAGTGAGTGTTCCGTCGTCGAATCTGCTCGACGACGTGCGAAAAGCAAATGCAGAAGATGAGTCTCTTCTGCGATTGATGGGTTACGTGTACAATCCGTGCAGTCAAGCTTTGAAAAGCTTGTCGTCTCAATACTGCTCTTCAAACGAACGGTATTCTGTTCGTGATGGACTGCTGTACTATACAGCAGTCAACGGCGACACACCTCGTGTCGTCGTTCCGGCTCATAATGATTTGCGATTGCGCATCATGTATGAGTTTCACGATGCCCCAACAAGTGGGCATCGCGATAGAAGAAAGACTTACCTCACGGTAAATAGTGATTTCTACTGGCCCCGCTAGTATAAGTTTGTGCGCAAATACATTCGCGCTTGCGAAGTTTGTCAACGGTTGAAGCCTCGTCCTTCATCTCGCGCACCCTTGCAGCCTATTCCGATTCCTGCAGAGTGTCGGCAATTCGTATCGATGGACTTCGTCTTTGGGTTTCTTGAAGATGCTCACAAGAATACTAGTATTCTTGTGTTTGATTTTTAAATGGTTCAGCAAGATGGTACATCTTGTTGCTGTACCGGAGTCAATCACATCCCAGCGTTGTGCTCGTGTCTTCATCGATACTATTGCCGACTTCAAGGGTTACCCCGTGAACTTGTGTCTGATAGGGACCCCCGATTCACAGCGGAGTTCTGGCAATCCGTGTTCCGTTCACTTGTAACACGTTTGAAGATGTCGACTTCTGACCATCCAGAAACAGACGGTCAGACGGAACGTGTCAACCGCTTTCTCGAACAGATACTTCGAGGGTATGTCCACTCGTTTACGAGTTGGAGTGAGTTCTTGCCGATGGCGGAACTCGCCATCAACAACTCGTTGCACGCGTCGACAACGCATACACCTTTCTTAGTAAATGGCCTACGCCATCCACGTTATCCGCCTTCTTAGAGTGTGACTTTAGTTTAAGGGGGGGTGGACTCGCTCGAACAAAAACCGATCTGGTTCTTGCTCATCACCCGTCGACAATGGTGTCGACGTGATGGATGCCGATGTCGATGCGATCGATACCGATGCTGATGATGACGACGATGCTGGTATATTCAGCATCGCCAATGACTGCCACAGTGAGGGCAAGGAAGCTTTCACTGGTGAAGACAACCTTCTTTCAGCAGTGCACACGATGCACACTACTGTTATCAAGGATGAATCCGCAGAGTAATTTCTGCTGACTCGCTAAGCGGAAGCCGCTTAGTTCAAGACTCTATTGCAGATACACTAGACAGACAGTAAGGAAACGCAGACAAACATGGAAGAGCAAATGTTCTTTCATTTATTGAAGGAGACTTAGTTTACTGTCTACAGTAAACATACCAAAACAAGAAGTGACAAGCGTGGGCAGCAGTGTATTACAGCCCAAGTATATCGGTCCATTTCGTGTGTTGCGCCGAATGGGCAACGCATAAACGATTGAACTGCCCCGTAAGATGCGTACGCATCCTATGTTTTACGTTGGACTTCTCTTCCCGTACTATTAGTACGAGCCCGTTTCGAGATGCGAAGAGCACCTCCGCGGTCTAGAGCCGACACCACCTTTGAGTGGTCCCGTTTCAACGAGCCAGTCTGGTTTACTAGCAAAGTGACCTGCTCACGCAGTTGAGCGATGTCTTGAAGAGCTGCAGTGAGCTCGTCACGATGAGAACAAGTCGAACGTTTGTTTTCAAGTTGCGCGAACGCGAACGCGTCACGATCGTTCAAAAGATCGTGCGCTGTATTGTAATCATCCTTTACATTTTATAAAGCTCATAACGTCAAGTACGTTCATAAACCAGGTCGTCGTGTAACGAATCGCTTACATGCTTTAGCTTTTAAACCCTAAGTTGGTTCGACCGTCGAGCCGGATCAGGTGTTCCCGCCACCTCCACATCTTTTGGTGGACTCAGGCGGTGGTCAACGTTTTTTAGTAAAGCATAGTTTGAACCACCGCGACGTGAATGTTGTCCGGACGAGTTACCTCGTCCGATGGCCTGGCTATTTACCCGCCTGGGACAACCGGGAGCCTCGTGCCCAGCTGATTGTTGATGTCCTTGGACTAGTCGAGCAGTATGACGAGACCCACCATCTCAATTCGAAGAAGGGCCGTCGGAAATCGACCTCCTTGAACGCGAGTACAGGAATTGCAAAGTGTCAATCCCTTCGGCCATCTCAGAATAGATGTGCGCTCTCCAGTAGGGATCATCAGGGAGATAGGCCTCCCTTGGAGCATGGTTCGAGTTGTCCAGGCAACCTGGACACGAATCACCCTACGATAAACAGGGTAACCCTGGCTCTCTTGACAGTCGGTGCAACTTGTATCGCGCCCCGACTGGGTTACGCTTCTCACACCTGATGCGAGCTGCATCAAGTTTTGCGAGACAGGCCTCACGGCCAATGCACTCGATGATGTGGAAGAAGGCATATCATCCTTGCACCAAGGCCTTTCCGTCTCGGACACGGCTGCAATTGTACCACCGATGTTTGAAGAATGCATCGGTGCAGAACCATTCCTCAGCACGGATATTTTCCGTGCTGGAATTAGAAGGACAGATCATACTACAATCGAACAAAGGAATTCGATCCCGTTCGGTAGTCATGCCGGCCAACCGTTCCAACTCCTTGAATGACGGCATCCAAGGAGACTCTACTTGAGATGTGTGGCGCAGGACATTTCGGTCCTTGGCCTCTTGATTGGTGCCAGCGTGAGCACTGACACCAGTGACACCTCGATCCCTCGAGTTACTTCGCTCTCGGTGATGTTTAGGTGCATCACCACCAGTCTCAAGCGCTCTATCGTTTTTAAATGGACTTGCGTGACGCGAGGATTCGTCGTAACAATCGCTCGATCCGAAGATCTCGAACATGATACCGCCACGTTGACAAGATCCAGTCAACTTAGCTCTTGCAGTGTCCGCCCCGGGGATCCGGAGGCGTGCGGTGTCGCATTCGGGTCGAATACATCATCCGACTCACCAGAATAGATGAGCTCTAATTCAGACTCATCCGGATTACGATTCGTGGTACCCGCCGCAGACGCAGCGGATGTACCTGTCGAACGTGGTGACTCACCACGTGGACTGTTCACAACAACAGGCGACGAAATATCTGCTGCTGAGGTGTGATAAGGAATTTCTCCGGTTGCACGCATGCGTGCAGCCGCTCTTCTTGCTGCTGCAGTGGCAGCTCGCGTAATTTTGGAAATAATGCGTTGGATGAGCAAATGAATGGAATTTGACCAACAAGTGCTCCCTTTCCCAGAGTGATCATACGGTGGTCACCCTAATTATATTAATTCACTTCAATTAACGGGTGATGGTTAGGGGGAGTGATGTAACGGGGTAGCCCGCTACATGATATTGACACCAAACGGTGTCAATAGGGATATTGTGTAGCATGACAATATCCTTCCAATATTATCCGAGATGGATAAATTTGAAGGAATGTTATCCCCTTATGGATAATATTCATGCGCTGCCCAAAGATTAATAGATGAAAGACTTATCAACCATAGATTACCACCAATCGCTGCTAGACGCGCGCAATGAGTGGTGAGAAGGTTGTCGTCATACGACGACGTAGTTTAAAATAGTCAGATAAAGATTACAGTTACATTGATAGCTTAACTACATTAAATACAGTTCTCTTTTTACCTTTTTTCTCAGCTTAGTCGTTGAGTAGATTAGCTTCCTCTGCATGTACTAGTGTAAGTGAAGTTTCGTGGCACCCCAAACAAAGGGTGCCTCGTTTCATGGATCGCCAATTAGGGTAAAAGATTCGAACGAACGCTGTGAAGCCCTTTTGAATCCTAAAAAGGAATGATCGAGTAAAACTACAGTGTAACTTGGACGATGTTTTGACCGGCACGTGGGAGTAGATTGCGTTGCGATCGATCGGGCAGCTTGATCTAATAATCAAGTCCAGCGAGGTTGTTAACGATAACTCTCGATTAACAAGACGATCTACCTCTTGACGCCATCATTAAGCGTCGACTAAAAAGGCCACGAGGGCATGCATAGCAGGGCACATACAAAATTCAAGGCCGAGACCTGACTTTAGTGGCCAACTTACATGACAGTTCATCCGAGTTGCATCCATTTCTGTACGACCGACACTGAGATTGCGCTTTTTACCAACGAGGCGAATTGCAACCACCAGCACAAAGACACTAAAACTATCCTTGCAAAGCCTTCCTCAAAAGAAAGTTAGTGTAACGGGGTTGCACGAAATCATGGTACTTTGTACCAGAGGTGTTACACACCTGAGGGTTCGCTTCTGTGAAGGTGATATAGAATATCTTATCGGTTTGTAGGGGCTGACGAGTGTCAGCCATTAGATACGAAAGATCTTTGAGTAGGATTAAGATATTCTATAGGCTTTAACAAAAATAAAATCAGTTCCCATTTTGATCTGAAAGACACGTGGCTTGCGAGCCGTCTTGATCGTTGATCTCTGATCACTGAGAGTTAGCGACACCTCCTTGGGGTAGCTACTCTTGAGCACTAAGTGCTGTCGATTCACTGAATCGTTAGGTCCCCTGGAACAGGGATCTGAAGCTATAAAGCTTGTTGACTCGTAAAGTCGTTAGTTCTTTAGAACTAAGTTGCTCGTAGAGCGTTAAGTCTTCCTCTGACTTAAGGAGCTGTGTAGCTCCGCTACACTTGGTAGCACTTGTAGTCAATCTACGCCTGAGTCTTTAAGACTGATCCTCTGTGAGGATGGAAAACATCACTCCCCTATCTAAGGCCCAAAAGGTCGCGCTTGATAAGCTGACCGCATCTTTGGGTCCAGAGTACGTGGAGTTCCTTGTTTCACAAGGTCCTGAAGTGCTTAATGCACGTGTTGAAAGCTTCATGCAGTATGAAGCGACCCTTTTAGGGCAGGTCCAAGACCAAATAGCGTCGGCTATGCCTACACGCTACGTGTCTGTACCAGACGAAGAGGCTAAGCCTCGTCCACTTAGAGTGGAAGTAAAAAACTACTCCGGTAAGGAGGGTGAGAACCTCATCCTCTGGATCCGTGAGATCGAGATGGCCATGAGATCAGGTCTGATCACGCTTGACCATCAACAGGTCTCGCTGGCTATCTCGAAGCTCGATGGTAGAGCTAGAGAATGGGCCTTGACGTGTAGCACGTCGGTGGACATAGCGTTTCCCACATGGGAGTCGCTCAAGTTACAATTGGTACAGGTGTTTTCTCTACCTAACCAGGCTTACCGCGTGCGTTCACACTTTCTTTCTACCCGCCAGGGTAAGAATGAATTATCGGACTATGTCCAAGAGCTGCGAACGCTCATGGCTGCAATGCAGTCTGACCCTTTGCCTGAAGCAGTCCATGTGACTATCTTCATGGAAGGTCTACGTACTGGCATTGCCAGAACCAAAGTTTTTCGGGTTCACCCCTCTACGTTTGAAGAGGCTGTGAGAATTGCTCTTAATGCTGAGCATAACTTCAAGTCGGCCAGACTTGGTTGGAACGGATACAATCCTCGCTCTGTGAGAGCAAACTATTCGGGTACCACTGCCTATAATAGGCCGGAACCGATGGATCTCAGCTATGCTGAAGATGGAGGTGAAGCTGAGCTTCAAGCTGCTGAGCAGAAACACGTTGTTAGACGATGCTTTACGTGCGGAAGCACTAAACACTTGCGGCCTGGTTGCCCTTTGCGTAAGCAACGCCAGACTACGAGCCAACACTCGAGCCCGAGTCAGAAGTCTGGCATGGCACGGGAAAATGCCGACACCCAGTAGGCGCGGGGCGCCCTACTGGGGAAGAACTATGTTCTGTTACACCTTTAGAAGGTAAAGGAATGCAGGGCTTAGCCCCAAAGAGTACCATACCTACGGGTATGGTGCGTGGATACAAGTCTGGCTTGTTGGTCGCCGAGGCGAAAATTAAGGGCTTCGAGAAGCCTTGGTCGATATTGATCGATTCTGGAGCGTCTTGCAATTATGCTCGACGCCGTTCCCTTGAGGGAAGTCAGCGTTATGCTGAGGCGCTTACAGCGCATGAGGGTGATTCTATCACGGTTCGTTTAGCGACTGGAAGTCGCGTAACGGTGCCTAAAGTTCCATTGAACTTAGGTATAAAGTTTTTCGACTTTGACAGTATTGAGTGCTGTCTTGTCCTAGATTTGGACTCGAGATATGATCTCATCCTAGGTATGGCTTGGCTTGAGCGCCATGAGCCATGGATTGATTGGAGGTCTAAGACCTTAGGCGCTACGCGCAATGTTCCTAGCGAAGCTTTGGAGAGTCATGAACCCACCTTTGCTAGGCAGCAGAAGCGCTATTGGCGCGAGCCTTTGACAGAAGATGTCAATGTGCTGGATATTGGAATGTCCGAGTTATCTAACTCCAATGTTAAAAACATAAGTTTCGAGCCTAGCTCGTCTAGAACTAGTGAAACGGCACGTACTCCGTTGAGTGGTACTCGTTGTGATAACGAGTCACTGCATGCTAAAACCATGGTTGGCCTAGGGCCGAGTGATCAAGGACGTGATTCCTTTGGTGTGTGTATGGTGGCACGTGAAATTACACCGAGTGCGGTCGGCCGTGAGAGCACCGCACTGAATGTCGGTAATGGCGTTGTTGGCGATTCGCCATATGGTGTGGGCGGCCGTGAGGGCACCACACCTAATGTCAGTAATGATATTGTTGGCGATACGCCGTATAGAGTGGACGGCCGTGAGGGCACCACGCTTCACGCCGGTTATGGCGTTGTTGGCGATACGCCGTATAGTGTGGGCGGCCGTAAGGGCACCACACCTAATGTCAGTAATGACACTGTTGGCGATACGCCGTATAGTGTGGACGGCCGTGAGGGCACCACACCTAATGTCGGTCAAGACAAAAGCTCTCGTGTAGAGCGTACTATGGTTGGTAGTAACCATGGAGACAATATTGTCCCGACCCCTAAGGGGTGTAAGGTCTCGAAGAGACAATCGAGACGCCGAGTAGCAGCTGTAAAGCGCCAGGCGTCCTCACAGTCACATAGTGAGATTAGCAATACACTATATACACTTGTTAATGGAGTGACTGGTCAGGTTAATGGCAATGTGAGCCTCGAAACCCTTCCATCTGTGGACGCTCTGTGTGAGCTAGACGAAATGTCTGATGGCGAGTTTAGCCAGGCCTTGAAGGCAGGAGAGTTATCCGAGTTAGCAATCATTAGACCTGATACTGACTTAAATTCTTCCTCGTTAATGGATGAGTCTGTCCTAGAGGATACAAAGGCGGCACTTAGTGCACGAAGTGGATCTTCGATCCTTAAAGATCCTTTGGATCCGTTCTATCCTGTAGTCAAGGAATTTCAAGATGTGGTGTGTCACAACCCACCTTCTGCCTTACCTCCCGATAGAGGTGTACGTCATGAGATTGACTTGGTTCCTGGAACTAAATACTGTGTAACACGGCAGTGGCCTTTGCCTAAAGAACAGTGCGACGTCATTGACGATTTCTTTCGTGCTAAGCACGCGGCTGGAATGGTTCGTGAGAGTAAATCTCCCCATTCAACACCGACATTTTGTGTCAAAAATCCAAATGGCAAGTGGCGTATTGTGCATGCTTACAATAAGCTTAATGCAGCCACTATACCGGCGCAGACGCCTATTCCTAGAAAGGATGTTCTTCAGAACAATATGACGGGATGTACACTGTACAGTGCACTCGACTTATCGATGGTTATTACCAACTGCTCATGCGAGAAAGCGATATTCCGCTAACAGCGGTGAGTACTCCGAGCGGTATGCTTTGGGAGTGGCTCGTTATGCCACAAGGGCTATCTAACGCCCCGGCTACATTTAACCGGTTGGTAACGCAACTATTCAGACCTCATCGAGGCTATGCACAAGCGTACTTTGATGACATTTTTGTCCATAGTCGTGCAATGAATGGGCGATCAGATGTGGATAATCACATCGATCATTTACGAGCGGTGCTCGGGTGTATGCGGATGAATAAGCTGTATGCGAACGCATCGAAGTGCATCTTTGGTGCAGAAGAGATTCCCTTTCTAGGGTGCTTCATTGGGAAGCGAGGCCTTCGAGCGGATCCCGCTAAGGTAAAAGCCATAGTCGATTGGCCAGTCCCCAAGAACCAAAAGGACTTGCGTAAGTGGCTTGGCCTTGCCAATTACTTACATAAGTACAGTGCAAATTACGCAGATATGGCTTGGCCATTGTCCAATCTCCTTAAAAAGGATGTGGGTTGGTGTTGGGGTAACACCGAACATAATGCTTTTGAAGCAGTTAAGGAGAGTCTCCTTCATGCGCCAATATTGGCTTTGCCCGATTCTGGTCGGCCTTTCAGTGTCGTCTGTGACGCATCTGACTTTGCCATAGGCAGTGCTCTGTTACAAACAGATGTCGACGGACGCGAACGCGTCATTGCATTTGAATCTCGACAGCTGAAAGCTGCTGAAAAGAACTACCCAGTCCATGACAAAGAGCTGCTTTCTATGAAGTATGCTATTGTCAAATCAGAGTTCATCTGCTTGGCTCGAAGCCATTTGTGATCTATACCGATCATGCGTCATTTCGCACTGCGACACAGTCGCCTCATCTCTCACAAAGAATGGCTCGTTGGCTTTCCTTCTTTGCCGAATATAACTTCGATGTGAAGTACAAGCCAGGTAAGCAAAACGCTTTGGCTGATGCGCTATCGCGTCGACCTGACTATGAGCTTGCTCATGTTACGACCCTATCGTCGTCAGTCCCTGACTTAATTCGTGCGGCATATGCCAAGGACGATCAGTGTGTAGCTTTGCTACGTGCTCTTGGGAGCGATGAGTTTAAAGACTCGGACATAGAATTGTCGGCACGTTTACGTGCGAGGCTACATCGATATTCCATCGATAATGGCCTGTTGTGCTATCGCACGGATATTGAGGACAACCCTCGTATCGTAGTACCTCATGATGAGGAACTAAAGTATCGGATCCTCTATGAGGCACATGATACTGCTTTAAGTGGTCATCTCGGTCGTGAGAAGACCTATAGCTCGGTGAGCCAAAGTTATTGGTGGCCCAAACTTTATAAGTGGGTGCGCACCTATGTGCGTACGTGCGAAACGTGTCAACGGGTAAAACCCTCGGCACATGCGCGCGCCGCTGGCTAGTTTGCCGGTACCCAGTGGTTGTTGGGAGTCCATGAGCATGGATTTTGTGTTTGGCCTACCGAAAGATTCGGAAGGCAACACTGGTATTGTGGTCTTTGTTGACCGATTACGCAAGATGGCTCACTTAGCGGCTGTGCCGGATAGCATTGATGCTGAAGGTACAGCAAAGCTGTTTATCGACCGTGTCTTTCGCCAACATGGCTTGCCTGTGGCAATTATCTCTGATAGAGACCCCCGCTTCACTGGGAAGTTTTGGAAGTCTATCTTCAAGGTGCTTGGCACTCGGTTGGACATGTCCACAGCGGATCATCCGCAGACCGACGGTCAAACTGAGCGTGTAAACCGCGTCATCAACGACATTTTGCGCAGTGTTTGCGCTGATACGCCTAGGCGTTGGAGCTCAATGCTCCCTGTTGTTGAGTTTGCGTTGAATAACGCTGTTCATGCCTCAACAGGCTTTACTCCGTTCTATATAAACGGTCTCACTCACCCTCGCGTTCCGTTAACGCTATCACTACGTGAATCAGGGCTTGGTGGGGGGAGAGGTTGCCGATCGGCTTGCTGATATCAGCCCTGCTACTGTTCAAAAACAGGTAAGCGAGTTTCTCGCAACGCGATTAAATGTCTTAAGACATGTGCGTGACGCAATGGCTGATAGCCAAGATACCCAAAAACAACAAGCTGATGCCAAAGGCAGAAATTGTATTGAACGTTATGAGGTCGGAGACCAAGTACTACTCAATGCTAAAAATCTACCTACAAATGTAATGTCTGCTGTCTTTAAGACAAAGTTGCGTCCACGCTTTATTGGACCGTTTACGGTCACGGCCAAGAAGGGACTTGCGTATACGCTAAAACTCCCGCGCAAATTGCGCACACATCCAGTGTTCTATGTTGGCTTACTCAAGCCGTACCGGGATCCTTCCCATGTGAACTTGGAGGCGCTTGCGCCGACGACAAGGGCACTGCCCCGGATTGCTGTAGACGAATCAGCAAGTCCAACTGAGCCTCGCTCCGAGTTTGAGCTTGCTCCATCGCCTGGAGGCGGCTTTGCATCGCATCCAGCGTGCACTGGGACTTACCCAAGGCCTCTTGAAGACCCCCTCACTTCGAGAACCAATTTCTCGTGGGCCTCCACCGGTACACCGGCCGCCACCGACTTTGCTCGATGAGCATGGGTGTCGTCAATTTCATGTCGAGAGACTACTGAAACGACGTCGTCGTCAGGGCCAATACCAGTATCTGGTAAAGTGGCGTGGGTACCTTGAGTCTGAAAACTCATGGGAATTTGAGGTACCCCTTCGGCAAGACTGCCCATATGCTTTGGAGGCTTTTGAGCATCGTGGCCATGGTCATCTCGAGGCCGAGGCCGTTCCCCACCACTAGTGGTGCGGGTTGGCGGGTTGTTGGCCACAGACTGACCAGCACTCGCGGCTACCTTAGTAGCCGAAGCATAGCGCGTGCGCTTGCGCAATTGGCCTCTGGCCTTAAGCTTGGCATAATCATACCGAAGCTTGCGTTCGAGACGCACATCCGCCGCATGGGCACTAGCCCTTAGAGCAAAAATGTTGCTGAGGCGACGCACATAGTGCACCCAGTGAACAAAGGCATCGTCTTCTTCACTCGCTGTTTCGCCTGCGAGCAGGAGAATGGGTATACCCTTGATCGGTGGAATCGGTGCACCACGTGCTTGCATGTCAAGGTGTGCCTTGTATTGACTTTGAGTCGTTAGGTGCGGCTTCAGGTACCTCTCACGAAGTGCCTGGAAGCTCACCACCTCCTCAGGAGTCTTAGGCCCATGGCCAATGACCCACGTTGCCAATGTTTGGCCGGCCGCTTGACGCAGACGTTCCTCCACACTGGGTGGGGTGAACACATAATCACGCTGGCGTTCAAGGGTTGCAGTCATCTGTGCATAACGCTGAGCGTTTTCCTCTCTTTGAACAAGCAGTTGTTGTTGCTCATCGAGCGGGTTCGTGATGATAGGCTCATCAGACCCAGATGCTGCATGCTGCGCTGGCGGCGCGCTCGCACCTCCACGTTCAGCGAACGGATTTGGGGTGTTCGAAAGTTGTGCCTCAGGCATCATTGAGCCGGACGTTGTCCCTGTGTCACCGCGGACACTGGTATCGCTACCATAGTCCACCTCTTCCTCTATTCCGAGGTAGTCACACAGAGCCTTTGACTCGTTTGGTGATGAGGACATCGTGCTGGAGCGTACGTTACCGTGAGGTTCACCGTACGCGCACTGTTCTCGCTGAGAACACGAGTTCGATTGACGTTTTGGCAAACGTCAGTCTGGTGGGGGAGGGTGTAACGGGGTTGCACGAAATCATGGTACTTTGTACCAGAGGTGTTACACACCTGAGGGTTCGCTTCTGTGAAGGTGATATAGAATATCTTATCGGTTTGTAGGGGCTGACGAGTGTCAGCCATTAGATACGAAAGATCTTTGAGTAGGATTAAGATATTCTATAGGCTTTAACAAAAATAAAATCAGTTCCCATTTTGATCTGAAAGACACGTGGCTTGCGAGCCGTCTTGATCGTTGATCTCTGATCACTGAGAGTTAGCGACACCTCCTTGGGGTAGCTACTCTTGAGCACTAAGTGCTGTCGATTCACTGAATCGTTAGGTCCCCTGGAACAGGGATCTGAAGCTATAAAGCTTGTTGACTCGTAAAGTCGTTAGTTCTTTAGAACTAAGTTGCTCGTAGAGCGTTAAGTCTTCCTCTGACTTAAGGAGCTGTGTAGCTCCGCTACAGTTAGCCTATTTCTAACATCTCCGAAAGGATTGCAGCATTCTTCGGGGAAGTAAAGACAGCAGTGCACTCAGTAGTCGTGTCCATGACCAGACGACGGATCTTTCAATTTATGTAGAAGGCGCTTTCATCACTCAAATCGCTGCCTGGGATTCTCACCCATGCGGGTGTCCGATTGATGACAACAAATACAAAAGAGGGAAGTCCAGTAAAATAGAGAGGAGGGAGTGAATCCAGACACGCTCTATTTTACCTCGGCCATATTTTTCAGCCGTATCTGCGGCTTGAGCAACTGTAAATCCGATCAAGCCGTTGACGCAGCCGCCAAGTCGCGTCCCACTTCTCGTTAGTCCTTCCATTCGCCGCTCCCCCTTCTCCGTCTCTTCTTCACTTCAGCATCGCTCGCTTCCAAGACACGTGACACGTGAAACCTCGAGCCGAAGATGGCCAACCGCAACGCCCAAGAACTCGCCGAGAGCGTGCTCTCCCTCTACGACGTGAGTTCGGACCGAGACGCCACCATCGCCAAGCACTACCTGCCCGACGCCGTGTTCACGGACCCCGTCGTGTCTGTGCAAGGAGTGGACAACATCCAAGCGCAGTTTCGCGTCCTGTCTACATTCATCAAGTCGAGCAAAGCGACGCTCGTGCGCGGGTCCATGGCCGGCGCCTCGGTGCTCACGATCGACAGCTCGATGGTCTACCGGCTCAAACCCGTGCCCAGTCTGATGAAGATTGCGCTGCGGGTCTTTTCCGTGCTCGAGCTCAAGAACGGGCGCATTGCCTCGCACACGGACCACTATGACTTTTACTCGGTGCTGACGAACGTGCCGTTCGTGGCGTTTTTCTATGGCCATTTCCGCCCCATGTTTGGGACCGCCACTTCGGCGGTGATCAAGCGACTCGTGCCGCCTCAGAGAAAACTGATTCCGGCGGGGGCCAGCAAAGAAGCAGAAGGGACGGAGAACAATGGCGCGGTCGCGGTGGGAGCCTCGACGTAGGCACATGGACGCATCGAGCAGCTGGAGGCACGCTGGAGTGCTGCAATGTCCTAGTTCATGTGGTCGTCTCTTGCCTTTTTTTCTATCTGAGTTTGAGTCTTTCTGTCTGGCTCCAGTTGATCGTCCGAGCGGGTAAGCAGAGGGATGGAGCTGGAATGGTTCTTTTAACTGGCTGAATGGCTGGAGAACAGCGTGTAGCAGACATTTAGCCGTCGTTTTGTTTGGTGCATCCACGTGCGATGCTTCGGATACTGAGAGTGCTCGACAACGTACCGGCACGTCCACGTGAAGATAAACAGACGAAATTGCAGCTTGCATGACACTGTCGTTCCCTGTTACAGTCCGAGGCCTGCAAACGGGTCCCTACTACTGCCCTGCAAGTCGCGACTCGAATTGTCGCTGAATGCACCTGGTATCATAGGCGAAAAGTACATGCTGATGGGGTTCATGCCAGCATTGCCACATCCCGCCATCAGGTGCTGCTGTTGCTGCGGATGGCTCCCAGGAGGCTGCGGCGTACCCATTCGTTGCTGCTTGTCGATACCCACGCGCGTTTGATGCTGCGGCTGACTGCAGTCGTGCTTTTCCCATTCAGCACGAACTCGATCTCGACCATCGCGCTGGAAAGTGCCAAACGTTGGCAACGGAGCCGCAAGTCTGTCAAAGACGCTGAAGTCCTTCAATACAGACTCAGGAGCTGCAGCAGTTGCCACCGACTGCTGACCTTGGCTCGTAGGTGCAAAGGCGCCCGGATCAAGTGAAGTCACGCTAGCCGACACCGGAGCGTTGGATGCAATCACCACATTTGAACCTGCAAACGGATCAAACGACATCAAAGTCGGTGCCGAAACAGCCGATGCAAAGGCTCCGAAGACCTCCGTGTGAGCCAATGCAGATGCAGGTCCAGATGCAGTGCTAAAGTCTGCAAACTCATCTCTCCCGGACGTCAGCGTAGGTACAAAAGCCGATGCGAACGCCCCAAATTCCACGTCCGCAGATCTACTCGGAAGAACCGCTGCTTCAAAGCTGCCCCATTCCTCCTTCTCAAGGCTACTACAAGTGTTCGCCGTTGCTGCGGTGGACGCCTCCCCTTCTGCTGGAGGGTCCAAGTCCAGTAGATCCGGCACTGCAGCTGACTGGTGGCCACTTGTCGTACCTGTCCGACTACTTGCGGCTGCTGCGGCTGCCGTCGCCCCCCTCCTCTCCCCCTTGGCCTCGTAGAACTCTTTGGCATTGTACACGCGATCGATAAAGTGCTTGTAATACTCTAACGGGTCGTCCTTCGTCGGTTTGCGCAGCTGCGTCTCGTCCCAGCGGCCCAACCAAACCTGGGCCGCCACGACGTTCCCGCCGCCATTCGCTTCGCGCAAAGCGTCCACCTCGTCCATTGTCCAGTTGCTCATACTCACGCTCTTGACGCGCATGCTGAAGCTCTGGTGCGCGCTCTTGCAGGTGCTGCACACGAACGCGCGCACCTTCTCGCAGACATTTTGGTGCCCGAAGCGGTTGTACGCGCCGCAGTTGACGCACGTTTTGTTGGCCTCGAGCTTCTTGAGCGCGTTCACCGCTGTCTCTGCTGCTGCTGCTGCTGTCATGACGAGAACTACCGCTCGAGTCTGTAGAGTGCCAAATGCAGAGAAACGGACGTCGATTGATGGAGAGACACGACGGAGCTGGCACGACGACGGGTGCGTTTTTGTCAATCCGTTTGGTCGCGTGGTTTTCGATGTCGTTCGGTCGAGACGAAGTTCAGAGCGCAGTGTTTCATCTGGGAATTGTAAGATAAGCGACGAGGCAGATCAGCTGCTGATGGGGACGAGCGCGATCGTTGGAGCTCACAAGGTATGGCTGGAGTAAGACCTTTGGCGGATACTGGAAGGTTGACACTTTGACGAGCGATCTCGAAGCAGCTTCTATAGCTTTAGTTTGGTCAAGAGATCTCAGCACGAGTTCGAGTCCGATCTGTTTGGTTTGTCGAGCGCAAGTGGCTGGACACTGAAAACGCATGGGCAAATGGGGAAGGGCAGCATGGGAGGCCAGTATTTGATTGCGTGGTCGATGCCGCTTTGGAGGAATAAGTTGCGTTGTCGGTCAGATAGTGTTTGTGCAGTGTGCATGTCGTCTATATGCTAGCAGAACAGCTGCAGTGTACGTGTCGAGTGCTACAATAGACGTCGCTGTATATTTGATGCATCGCGAGAGCCGCGCGCATGTAAGAGTATGAAAGTTCCGTTGTAATGCTCGCAAGTGGATGATCTTTCTGTCTTTTTCGGACTAGGCATTTGATCAGATCCATCGGGTCTAATACGCGATCAATCCCAGCTTAATGGGCTCGGCACTTGACTGTACTTTCAAGCCTGCACGTCAGTAGCACACTTCGTCAGCTCCCAACAAGGTCGAGTTTGACACCTTGAGTGCCTGGATTTTCGTCCAACGAACTGACAAGCTTGGCTTGCCGCATCCCGCAACGTTAGACGCAGTTGGGGAGCCCCCGCCAATTCCGCACGATGGCGCTATCGGCATTGTGCAATACATCTCTTATATCGATTGCGATCAAGCTGATGCTGAAGCTAAAAAGCGCAAGACGAGAAACGTCGCCATGCGTGGAAGGGTCGGTCTCTGCTACAATTGAGTGCAGCCTAAGAAAGGTGGTTGGCTAATCTGGTTCTTGCATGCGTCAATTTTGCTTTAGTGAGCTTTGTAGAGCTCTTTCGTGGCATACCTCCTTCCGCGTCTTAGACATCTGATGTAGAAAGCTGGGAACCGGGTAATAAGCTTACGTGCTAAATAGCAGGATGCATGTGGACACATGCGGTGCAAAGCGAATTATTGACGCGCTTCTTTAACCCACATTGGCACCCAGCTCACGGGCTGGTGGAAGTTCGGAACCTCGTTCACCATTGTTGTATCAACGTGGTCGTGTTCTCCACAGTGTGAAAGAGACGTACGCCCTCCTTTGCCGAACGAAACGTCGATTAATGAACGTTAGCATGTCGGGCAAGGCCGGCCACGACCTGTGTTTCTATCCTGCATTTTTCGAAAGAATAGTCGCCAAGGTGTCACGACCATGGTCTTGGCAAGTACGAAGCAGATGTGCTCATTATCGACCTGCTACAAGTACTGGAACACAGGACTGCTGCAGAACCCAATCAAGCCAGTGTGCCCCTGATGAATGAGGATTTAGCCCGCAGGATTCTTTCAAATTCGACGCGTCTTGTTAAGGCACTCGGCGCATGTGGAAAAAAGAGCTTGTTGTATTCCACTACGCCACGCATTCGACTACACGATGCCTTCGTTGCTGAATATGACATCGTATTGGGATGGCAAGAGTATCTGCGCTATGAACCTACTACATTTGATCGTCGCCACCTATTGGTAATGGTGTTGGTTACTGATACTAATGACCATATGTCATGGACGACACTGTGTGATAGTGTGTAACGATGGGATCGACTCATCGTTTTGTTACTAATATTATAGAGTCGATATCGATAGGCTTAGAGTAGTACAACGAGACGAACTAAGGACCTAGCTAGATGATAATTCACTTTCCATTTTACCTTCTTCTAAGCTCTCCCACCTCAACTCGCTCTTGGCAGTTGCCAAAAGTCAAAAGGTTATGAGCCCAACTACGCCGGATGCGGGCGACATACTCCGCGAAGATAACTACTTCGTGTGGGAGTTCAACGCAAGGATGAGGCTGGCAAAGAAGGGATTGCTAGAGCACCTAGACGCTATGAAGGCCCCAGAAGAAGGAGACGCAAGCGCGTCAACTTGGAAAGTCAACGACATGAAGGCCTTCGCGATTGTGTCCACAATGATCAGCACAAATCTTCAGTCAATGGTGCGCACGGCAGAGACAACGGCAAAAGCATGGGACATACTGAAGACTTTCTTCCTGCGGCAAAGTATGCACAATCGTGTGCAGTTGCGGCGGCAACTACATGAGTTCAAGTTGGCCAAGGGAGGAAGCATCATGGATCACTTCCTGAGATTTGACGAGCTGTGCATGACTATGCAAGCTGTGGGACAAGAGATCTCACAGGATGAGCATTTGGTCATCCTATTGGGTAGTCTAACGAGAGACTATGACCCCATCGTCAAGATAATTGAGAACATGCCCGGAATGACACTGTTTCACGCTAAGGAAATGCTGAGACGGGAGTACGATGGAATGGCGAGGACAGAACACCAAGAAATCGCACTGAAAAGTACGCACACTTCCAAGTACAAGAAAGGTCCGCGCAGACATATGGGGAGATCAAGTTCAAGAGGTGAAAAGTTCTCGGGAAGGTGTTACCGATGTAACAAATATGGGCACAAGCGTCAAGATTGCAAGGCTGAACAAGTGGAGACAGAGCGATCTGGAGAAGAGAGAGCATTTACTGCGTCAAGTCGGACGTCAGCTGGATGGTTATTGGACAGTGGGGCAAGCAGCCACATGTGTCCCGACAGAAATGAGTTTTCGAATTTAAACTCACTGACGGACCCGATCATGATCACCATAGCAGACGGCAGCGAAGTGGAAGCGCAAGGTGTTGGGACAGTGCGCGTGCAACTCAAGACTGGTGAAGTGATCAGGATCGAAGAAACGCTATGGGTGCCGGGCCTAGACCGAAGGCTACTGTCAATATCGGCATTGTCAAAGAGGGGTCTACAAGTGATCTTCTCAGATCTGAGCTGTCAGATCAGAAGTAACACGGAAGTCGTTGCCCAAATACCAAGACGAAACAAGATGTACGTCTTAGAGTGCAGTCCGGCTGAGGTAGCCAACGTTTGCGAAGAGACATCTCAAGAGCAAGAATCAGGTGACGGATCAGGAGCGGCTGATCTACAAGTGTGGCATGCAAGATTAGGTCACCTGTCAACGAAGATGCTCAAGGGTATGGCAGGTTGCGTCAATGGATTAAAGATCAAGAAGAATCAAGGCGTTGAAGATGATATCGAGATCTGCGAAGGGTGCATCATGGGTAAAGCAACCGTCAAGACGTTTCCGAAGTCACCATACGGACACGTGAAAACCAAGGAAGTGTTGCAGTTGGTCCACAGTGATGTCATGGGACCTATGGAATCGAAGTCTCGAGGAGGATCAAGATTTGTCGTGACTTTTATTGATGATTATTCGAGATATATAGTCGCATACTATATTGAGAACAAGTCGGAAGTGACGGATCGCTTTATAGAGTATAAGGCACTTATGGAGAATCAACTGTCCAAGAAGATCAAGTGTATCAGGACGGACAACGGGACGGAATACGTCAACAGACGTTTCTCCGGTGTATGTCGAAAATCTGGTATCATGCATCAGACGACGGTACCCTATTCGCCACAACAGAATGGGCTGGCCGAACGCATGAACAGGACACTGACAGAGCGGGCCAGAGCAATGCTCAGCCATATGCAAGTGGATAAAATTTGGTGGGCTGAGGCGATGAACACGGCAGTCTATGTGACAAACCGAGTTCCATGTGCTAGTCACCCGACTAAAACTCCATTTGAGTTCATCTTCGGGAAGAAGCCTGACCTCTCCGAGATGTGTGTATTTGGATCAAAGGGATATGCACATGTCGACAAGTCGAACAGGACCAAGATGACCAAGAAGGCGATTCGATGTATTTTTCTAGGTTACTCGGATCAAATCAAGGGGCTTCGAATATGGGATGAAGATGCCAAGAGGGTGACGCACACGAGATCGGCTAAATTCGATGAGAGACCACCACTTCAGTACGTGCAACATTACAGCAGATCAAGTGACCAAGAGTTTCGCGCTGTTCATGACAAAGACACTGTTTCTATCGATTTAGAACAGCCACGAGTCACGAAAGACATGGATATAGCAATGGAGGACAGTCACAGTGTTCAAGAAGAGAGTCACATGCAAGACAGGCGTACAACAACGATGGCTCTACCATCAAGATGCAGTAGCAAGATGCCTGAACACGTGGGTTCCAATGCTGACGATCCAATGTTTGAAATTGATGATGTGACGATGATTGAAGAAGATCAAGAATCGGCTGAAGAAGTGTCAAGACAAGGACAGATGGTGATACGACCAAGTCGACAGACAAGTATTCAAGCATCGCAAGAAACCGCGATGGTTCCACTAGAATCGGTTCAACATGGACAATCTCAAGCGTTAATACCAGTGAATGGTGCTGATGAGGACTTTTATGACGGCTCAGAAGTGTGTCAAGAAAAAGGCACAAAGAGACTACGTATTGGGTATGAGCAAGCATGTGCAGCGTTCGAGACCCCAACGACATACGAAGAAGCTCTTAAGTCACCTCGTCGTGATAATTGGTACAAGGCCATTCAAGCTGAGCTCAAGGCATTAGAGGAAAAGGACACCTGGACTGTTCAAACACAGCGTCCAAACCAGAAAGTGATTGGAACCAAGTGGGTGTTCGCACTCAAACGAAACGAGCTGGGTGAGATTATTCGATACAAGGCACGTCTTGTAGCACTTGGCTACAGGCAGACGTATGGATTTGACTACATGGAGACATATTCACCTGTGGCAAACCTCAACTCAATACGGGTGTTTTTGGCGGTGTGCTGTCAAAAGGGGATGTTGATTCATCAATATGATGTCGAC